AGGAATAGACCAAATCCTTCAATTCAGAGATCAAATATATAAGGATGTGAAACTGCCATGCTACAGTTTTTCCTATGGCATGCAGATTAAAAGAATCGAATTTAAACATTCTAACCAGACTTTCTTCTATTAATAAACAATGACTTTTCACAATTTACTGTGGTATTCACGAACGCGTCTACAAACGCAGGACAGAATACGTGTGGCATTAGCACCTTTTGAGAGAATCCCCCAGTGAACATTGCAAGAAGCTAAGTGATTAGACTCCTATTTGCACTGCATAGACTCTCGCGATAAGAGAAGCTGTTAAAGTTTTAGCCCCTTCAACCTCCAAGCAAGTGATAATTTCAGACAGGCTGAGTGCTCTCCAAGCTATAGAAGGCACTGGGATCCTGAGATCCTCTAAGCACGAGATTGCAGATAATTTCACATAATCATTGTGAAATCAAGCTCGTGTGAGTGCCCAGCCCCACGGGAATTAGGTGTAACGAAAGAGAAGACAGGCTGGCGCAGCAAGGCTGCAATCACGATCAAGTCCAACAAGGAAACCTCATTTACTGTGATAGATTTTTCAAATGCATAAAAAGCAATCTATGGGAAAAATGGGATGAGATGTACCCAAATTTCCACAGGGAAAGGGGAAAGACTATTTCAAAATCCAATCAGCACCACAAAGAATTCCATGGTTTTATGCTTACGGAAAGCACTGTTGCACTCCGATTCATTTGCACAGGATTGGAATTACAGATAATCCTAACTGCGTTTGGAAAGAAGGAAATTTGAACCATATATTTTTTGGGTGTGTAATGAGGGAGCATCAATGTCAGAGAGCCTATGCCACAGCGTTGAAAAATTGCCATGGTCTCATAATCATTAAAGAGCTATCGAGAACCCCAACATCCAAAACATTAAACATATTATTAGAAATTCTTCAAACAGATGACATAAAGATATGAATATTTTTTATATATTATATTTATTATCCTAGTTGACTTGAATTCAGTAGTGTTCAGATTTCAACTTTAGTTACATATCTTGCTTTACCCATTGTCCACGACTTGTTCTCCTGTGTGCTAATGCTTTGGTCGCCGCAAAGCGAGAAGAATGTCTTTTTTGTTGTCCTGACCTTTATCCCTTGCCCTTTATCAGACACGTGACTAGACTATATAAGCATTGGACATCAGGATCCAGATGCATATTCGGTGCGCCTTCCATCAGAAAACCTATTTGGGCGACCGTCTAACCAGACAAGAGCTCATCATCATGAAGAAGAAGAAGACATAATATAATCATAATAAACCATAATACTTCCTGGCAGTCGCAACAGCGAAATTATGGTCGAAATCAGAACGAAGTGCTGGCGAATGCGCCGGTGGTCACGCTAATTTGTAAAATGTATAGTGGGTTATCTATATATCAATAGAGTAAGGAAACGATCCGGTCAGCCAACAAAATCGGACAGCCGCGCACCACGTGACGCACAATGCGTGTCTGGGCGCGAAATTGGCGGCCCACGTAGCAGGAGAATAGAACGGCTGCGGGTAATTTGTGCACGAATAAGCCGCGGTTGTCGAATTTATACCATCAAAAACTACAATAAACAGTAAGTATATTATACAAAATGCACTGAGAGCCGTTAAATTTGGTAAATTAAATTAATGAAATATAAAACTTAATTTTTATGACAAATATTATATGAATTTGATCGTCAGATGGAACTGAATACATGATTGGAGAGCTTTTGTATCTACTGTGCGGCTTTGGTCTCCTAATACGGCGAGTTCTACTTTGATAACTTGACGCACACAATCGACAGGTTCGCTTGAAGTGCATCTAGAATTATTTGGTGACTAGGAGAAGAAGCAAACTACACGTTTCGTTATTTATTCTTTATGTTCCCGTAGAAGTGTCGAAGAGATCACGTAATATATGGAAAACGGTGTACGTAATTAATTAATATGGTTATTTTTGTATATTGATTGATATTTGTTAATTTTTATAATGTTTATGCAAATAAATGGAAACAACCATGCCCCTAAAATTTTTAATACAGCCGTCGTCCGTGTCTATTTATTATGTTTATGTAGACACCAACGTGGACAGAATTGAGTCTGATGGAAGAAAAATAAATCAATAAACCAGATCGATGTAGCCCTCCTTGCGACCTCCCTGTTTTCCCCACGTTTAATTCTAGAACATCTCCACTTTTATTAAATTGACTTCAGGTCAGCTTTTTATGAATAAGAAAATTGTCTCATAATTCATAACTATGAGGGCTTACGTATCAGGATAGCAGGAGGGCCAGGAGTTTGCTTCCAAACGAATTTTGACAACCGGCTCCTATATGGGAGTGTCTCCCAGCGCTTTCGTTTTTAATTTGTTAAAAATTTGTCATGTGTGTCACAAATACAATGATGCCACTTTATCAGCAGGAGTGGCCTCTATATCATCAGGTTTTATTATTTTTTTTAGTCTTGATTTATTTTACAACTGTAATAGTAATTTTATGATGTACCTATCTATATGATAGAATGGATAAAGGCGCAAAAATATTAGTTTCATTTTTGATTTTAATGTGTTCACAGCAAGTCACAAAAGTTTAAAAAAAAATTGTTTACCTACCATATCACTTGATCATCTAATGGGGCAATTAAAAAAATGGCTATTTTTCCATTATCCTATTATCTCAACATGTATTTGATAACCCAAACCTTATTTCCGAAAAATATGAAAGCTAAATACTATCCAAAAAACTGTTGCAACATCCTTCGTAATCAAAAGTTTTATTTATCGACGTTTTTTAGGAACATGTTGATATGCGGTTTGGATTTTGAGCTACTAGAAGATTTTCAAAAGTTCGCACTTTAAGTAGCGGTTTATGACTTTTAATATCGGTAAAACTACTATAATAGGGCCGTTTTTACTATACCTTTAGTGGTTTTAAGTTAAATTCATCAAATATGATATGAACTTAATAATATTTAATCTGGTCGATGTCAGAAGATTCAATCTGATTTTTGACAACAATTAACACTTCCACGGCTAGTTCTGTGGAACTCCGATCCAAGGGAAACAACAAGGGAAAAATTGTTATGAGAGTACTGTAACAGCAAATTTTGCAATTGGTCAGTTCCTCTGCATTCGTGGCTAATCAGTCCAAGCACTCCATCCTAGACTTTGTTATATGCCACATGATTCCTTTCTACCTATTTATAACCAAATGGCATTTATAACAAAAATATTTATCAAAATAAATAAGAACTAAAAGTTCAGATTTAATTTCGTGAAAATCTGAACTTTTAGTTCTTATTTATTTTGATAAATGGATTTTCATCAAGTAAAAGCCTCCTCAGTTCAAAAATATTTATTTTTTATGAGAAGATGTTAACAATACTATTATTATAATTAAGAGTACATCTTGAAGCAGGCACGTCTCATAATATAACTCATTTTATTCAATTTAATAGTGAGAAACCTCAAACCTTTCTAATAGATCGCTCTATCAGTGCCGTAGCCGTATAGAAACCATTTACAAGTCCAAAAATTTTAGAAACTTTTTTGTGCGTTTTCAAGGTTATTATAAATTATTATAAACAATTACACTATCAGAAAAAAGTAGTGCAACATCTTCAAAAATAAGATATATTTAACACAAGTCCCAACATTATGATTATACATGCAAGGTATTGTATACAAATACAATACATTTGAGGACATTAAAGTAGGCTATGATTTATTGATGATCACAAACAAAAAAAATGAATTTATTTTGACATTAGTTTTAAATGCGTATTAACGACGCGTCAAAAATAGAGCAACATTTCTAAAATTTGTTCAAAAAAACGCTTTTAGTAAAAGTAAATGCAAAAATAACTCGTGTTGGGTTTATTTTGTGCTAAGTTAATCATTTTTGTGCAGGACTAGTTATGCCAAGACGAATTCCAATTTCAAAAGACCTAAAGCAAAGGGTAGTAAATGAATTTATGGAAGGTAGCAATCAAGCTGATATTTCAAGACAGTTTATGTTACCTCGGTACAGCGTATCTAGAATAGTTTCATCGTATAAGGACAGAGGACACCTAGAAAAATTATCGAAATCGGGAAGACCCAAAAAAACAACGGTTTTGACTGACAGGCGCTTTAAAAGAATTGCTCAACAAGATCCTTGGAAGTCCGCACCTCGAATAATTGCCGAAATTCCAGAAATTTACGGTTGGTATACGAACTGTACAAAGAAGATTAGTAGCTTTAAATTTGTTCAGTAGACGGCCAGCAAAAAAACCACTAGTTTCAGCAAGAAACAGAGCAGCAAGGTTGGCCTTTGCACGCCGGCATTTAAACTGGACCATCAATGAGTGGAAAAAAGTTCTATTCAGCGATGAAACGCGATATAAAATATTCAATTCTGTTGAAATGCTACGTGTGAGGCGACCAATTAATACTAGGTTTAACCCAAGTACGTAACACCTACAATTAAACATGGTAAAGACAGTATTTTTTTATGGGGATATTTCTCATGGAATGCAGATTATGCAAAATGTTATGCTACCTTATGCAGAGTGGGAAATGCTGTTACGTTTTATTTTCCAACAGGACAATGATCCAAGACACTCTTCACAACTCGTTCAACAGTAGTTTGCAGAAAACAATGTTAGATTTTGCAGTGGCCGGCACAGTCGCCAGACCTTAACCCAATTGAAAATCTCTGGGAAGAAGTAGAACGTCGCATTCGTACACAAATGTTTCCAAATAAACAATCGTTGATAGATAAAATTAATGAAGTTTGGACAAATCTTCCAGAAAATGTCACTCAAAAGTTGATAGAGTCAATGCTGCGCCGTTGCTAGCAGGTAATTCTCAATATTGGATATTCTATAAATTATTAAGGCATAATTTTAATTATTATTATCGTACTAAAATGTGTGTTTAATGTTTTTTTTTTAAATAGAATACAATACAATACCGTTAAATACACCTTTTTGAAATAAAATAAAATAAAACACTTTTAAATACAATTTATTGTTTTACTTTTGTCGCCTTCATTTTCGTCAAATTTTATATTAATTATTATTTACCTTTCACCAACTAACTTAAGGTACACCCAAAATGTTGTGAAAAATTACTTGCTATGCAAGGAAAGTATTTTATCATAACTAGCAAAAAATATGAACCAAATTTTTTTTTATTTAAAAAATACTAAAAAAATATGTTGTTAGCATTGTTAGCAACTACATCATTAATAAAAAACAATAAAATCACTGGCTCCAAATTACTATCCCGGGGAACGCCGCTACTAACCATTGTATTCTGTTACACAGATATGATTTTATGAATTTTCCATCATAGAATGCAAAAGTTCTCAGTTTAATGTGATTCAATGTGGTACAATGTGGTTCGCCCGGCCAAAGGCCTTCGAGAAGTCCGTGTATACTACACCTACTTACCTTCTGTCGTCTATAGCTTTTGCAGTGAATTGTGTGTAGATCAAGCTAAGTTACTAATGGCGCTTCGACCTTTAAGGAAACCATCTTATTTATGGGTTATTAAATGTTTCATCTGTGTCGATAAGAGACTTTAGTTTATAGTGCCCCTATGCAGACATATTGGTGGTCTGAAAGAGAAAACAAATTGCCATGGTTTGAAGATTTGAAGAAGTTTGAAGATTGATTTTGATTGTCATTTTTTTGTCAGATATACGCAACGTTTTTTGCCAGAATATATTTTTTGAAAAGTTACTCAATAAGTGTCTGTAAAGCAGTATTTGTTGAAGAAAATATGGTATACATTTCGAACCGTCGTTAATTCGGAAACTGGAGTGAGGGCGATGCAATCATATTTTGAAACAAGATTCAAATGAGGTGAGCTCTCATATATCAGAAATTAATATCTGCATGCAAGGTAAGCGAAAATTCAAGTATTAGAATAGAAAACACATTAGAAATTGGGTGTCATTGTGATCACAATTTAAAGAAGTTCACGATGACCCCGATATTGCCCTAAGCGATAAGGTCGAATATTTAATTTAGGCTACAATTTCCGATAGTAGGGCTAAGCAATTAGTAGAGTTTTCCCGCCACGGCTAGTGACTATTAAAAAATCATAGACTGTGTGAAACTGTGTTTTGGCAGGGACGATCTTCAAATAGAAGTTCATCTGCGCGAGTTACTAAAATAAATAATTAGCAACGCTGCGTCTGGCAATAAAATAGAGCTTTCACTGTCGTACGATAAAATAGATACTTAATTGCGGGCGTTACAAATGCTTGGCATGACCTCTGATAAATACGCTGCCATACTGGTTCCACTAATTGAATCATGTTTTCCATCGGATTTGCTTCGTATTTGGCAAGGGTCCTCGTCAGATAGAATTGGGTCCAATGAGCAAAATGGTGAAGGGGAATCCACCCTAGAGAGCCGTCTAAAAAGCCATATGTTGTTTTTAAAGAACAAAGTAGAGCACGAGCAGTATGTTTCTCTAGCGGTAAAAGGTTTTGGATTAGTTTATCGAAATAATAGAGATTTTAGACGGAATAAAACCGTTGCGGACAACACTAAAATGAATGTAGACTTGTCACCCACTGTTACTAACGTAAGAAATAATACCACGGCAGTAAAATGCGTATTTTGTAGTGGTTTTCACGACAGCGCTAATGGCTTCAAAGCTAAAAACTTTCTTTAAAAACAAACCTCCATTGAAATATTAATTGGATCAGATGTAACTGGGAGGTTATATACAGGCAGAAGGTACGTTTTGTCTTATGGATTAGTAGCAATGGAAACGATATGAGGATGGACCTTGATGGAGAAAAGACCTCAAGAATGTTCGGATACTACCTTCATGACAGCTTTGTTCCTCTTCGTGAAGAACTTGCCTCCCTATGGAACTAAAAACATTATGGAACCACGGACCCTGTGCAGCAAAAAACCCGTGAAGAAATAGCTTTGACCGCCAAAGATTTTTTCTTACCGATAATTTCTGGCTTGAAGCGAATATTATAGAAGAAGTATACAAACAAGGATCTCATTGCGAAGAACATTATTTACCATACAGGCCAGTGTTATCAAAGATGTAATTAATTTTACCACGAAGATAAAGTCAGTGTTCGACGCTTCAGCTAAAGAGAAAAACAGTCCCTCTTTGAATCAATGCTTCCTAAAATATAACTTAGATTTTAAAACTAACAAGATAGGGGTAATTTCTCACATAAGAAAGACTTTTTTCCAAAATCACACAATCACAGTTGTGGTTTTTGGTATAAACAGCTACCCTAGAGCACTATCTGGCGATAACGAGTGAGGCTAAGTGAATCAGGACAAGTTCCGTATTTTAGAGGAACCATCCTGAAGCTATCTAAGAGCTTTTATGTGGACGACTCTGTAAGACGATGCAGAAGTTTATTCTGAAGTTGTCCTTGGTAATGGCAGACGGCAATTGGTGGGAGTATACTCATCAAATTCGAGAAACGGATTCTCATTTTGACACCAAGGTCCTTGGATTGACCTAGCTGACTAAAGATACTTAAGGCATAAGTATGGCTAACACACAATTTGACTACTTGCTGGATAAACCGATTACGAAAAGGTTGATTCTCTCTTTGGCTCAGCGTATTTTTGACGCGATAAGATTTATTTGTCCCTCCATTTTGCTTCCAAGCACGCTTTCCAGAAATCTTTATACTGGAATACGCCAGTTGAAGGAGAAATAGCCATTAATTTTCGTTCTTCTTCAGATGAATTTGCCCTGGAACTGGTGACGCTGAGCAATGGACAGGGCATACATTTTGTGACTCTGGCAAGAACTCTTATGCCGCTGTCGTATTTTTGAGAGATATTCGATTTAATGTAAGTGTTTCTCTTCATCTGGTAGCAGCGAAATTCAAAAGAGCACCAGAAAAGTAACAATATCCAGATAATGACTGCAGTTATAGGTGTTCGACTATTTAAAAAGCGAAGAAAAATCTGAGATTCAATGATCAAGCCTATTTTTGTACGGATTATGGCATTATGTTATTTTGGGTTCAAAATATTAAAAAACGGGCCACGTTTGTTTGGAATAGAGTAGATGAAATTAGAAAATCAACAACTACTGAAAGCTGGCACCATTTTCCAAGATTATCAAACCCAGTCGATTTGCCATCTTGGGGCTGTTCCACTAAAATACTGTACGAATCGCTGAAGAAGAGGTTATCCAAGAGAATAAAAAAAGTTTAACAATTACTACCCTAATGAATAATTACAGTGGCTTTATGACCTCAGAGAAGTGGCATCTTAATTACTTCTCAAAGTATACAAAATTCGATTGTCTGGATATTCCGATTTCTGTACAACTTAAGATATAGGAACAAAAAACTTGAATTTAATGCAATAGGACATGTTTATAGACAAGAATGGTGTATTGCTCTTAAGATGTAGTAAATAACCGGTATTATCTAGAATGTTTTAGATTTAGACCACAATATTGCCTTCAAAGCACCGATTGGTTAGCCAATTAATATTTCCAAAACATACAGGGATACAATGCCTGCATATTAAGAAAAAGGTACTAGATATTGGGTGGGCGACGAGCAATAAAATCTGTAATCTCTAGATGTGTAATCCGTAGGAAACAGAATAGTAAACCCTTTAATGCAAATACAACTCAAACAAGGTTGATATTGTTGGTCCGCTATACTTTAAAACATGAGAGAAAACTTGAATTTGTATATTGGTGTTGTCAGTAACGGGGTTCCTTCAAGCGTCGAGACGTTTTATTGCTCGACGCGACCGACCGAAGACTATCTACAGTGATAATGGAACAAATCGTATCGGCACTAATGGCACACTTGCGAGATTTGGCCTTAATAAAATAAGCGAACCTATTAAATGGCCTTATAATCCTCCCACAGGTTCATGGTGTGTGGTTTTTGTAAGGGGCCTCATAAGAATTCTAAAAGAACTGTTGCGAGAAGTGTTAGGGTAAGCTTCATTAAATTACGAGGTCTTATCGACTTTGGTTTTTGATAGCGAGTCCGCAATAAATTCACATCCTTCCAATCCACCTTCGCAAAGGAACTGAAGGTGATTGTGGAAGTTCGGTAGTGGTCGAAAGATAGGAAAATAATAAAAGCAGAATACCCGCTAATTAAGATAGTATTTTTTACAAATATGCTGGATTAAACATTTTTTAACAAAAACGGGTTCCATTCACAAAAACATTACCTATATTATTTTGTAATACAGCCATTTACGCTGCAGTAAAGCGATGGCATAAATAAAATTTATCAAATCGATTCATCGAAACACTAGATTTCTTCATTTTTTCACTATTGTGCGCACTCAATATCTAACTCCACAAACAGATTGACGAGAATAAATATTCTGTAAACTTTGCCTATACATAAATTTGGAACTAGGTGATTGGTGAATTCAATTTAGTAACAAGTAAAAACAAAACGGCTAACCGATACAATCGCAAGTATAGAGTCTAGGAATAAACTTTTCCCATAGCATAGGATTCTCCACTGGAAGGTTGATTCTTACGAAGTATTCCATGGAATATAAACTGATAAGAAACCCACTCCCCAATGCTAACACGTACCAGAATATTACGTTTATTATATCCAATTTGGGAGTGCGAAAGTATGTCATAACGATACCCGAGAATAGAAACAGGATAAACAAAGCAGGGAAAAAAAAGTGAAAAGTGTACGTAAGTACCCATTCGTGAACTATAGCTGATATCATAAACACAGTGTACTGGGCAACAATTTTGTTCCCCGGCACAATAAATCTGTACATGTCTTTGTAGATGTACGTATATAACCAGTCGTAAACCACCACATTCCATGTCCTCAAGTACTCGGCATAGTTCGTAGACGTCCACCAATCCTTATAAAACAACCTATCACCAAAACGCAACAGTTCTGCCACTAAATTTTGCACTGAATGTAGTACTACGTAGAATATGCATAGCAAGCATAATAGCCCGCATGCACTGCTCTCAAAAATGGAAAGAATTATTTCACTGCGAGTAAACTTCTGCAGTCCTATGCGCTTATACGGTCGGATCATGTATTTCTCTACGAGAAAGGCGTAGAAAAATATCGCAGTAATAATTTCAGCGATTCGTTTAAAAATGAAGTTCCATCGGATGGTTTCTGATCTAAAAATAAACGCAATTTTTAAAACTCTAAAGAACGAATTAAGAAAGACCACAGAAAACTTTAAGGAAGTAGTAACGAGTAATAAGATGAAAATTCGCAATCTGTATCGCCCAGACCAACACAAGTACATGTTTTAAATTTAAAAAAAGACATTGAATCAGTAGTATAAGGTTATTATCACATAAAAAAAGGCTGAACATATTTACCATAAATTGACTGTAATAGCTTTTGAATTGATTAAACCTCTAAGTATACAATGTGTAACCGGGGCAATTCTTTAAGTCATTCCAATAAGACAAGTTTATATCTTGGTTAGACTTTTTGTAGATAATGTAAAGCTAACAACAGATTGCTGCGACGCGGTGCGTTCTGATGCGCTATGACGAAGAGTATATCAGTAGTAGTATCAAATAAATATGGTTACTAATTTATTTAGGTTGCGAATAAAATTGCTATGTATATTTTAATACCAATGCTAACTTACCTGGGATATTGATCCCGGTAAACAAGCGTAGGGGCAAACAAAAAATAAATAAAATGGGAAAGGTTTGCAATAATGAGCTGTTGGTCGCTGTGGACTTTGAATTTGAGAACATTCGGTGCGTTGCTTCTGACGAACGCATGGATTTTCATTATAAGTCTGGTCTAGAACGGAATTAAATAACACAAAGATTTGTTCTTTGCGGGAATTTTCTTACATGTTCGGCGCAGACGATCGCAGATGACGCAATAGGCAAATCAAAGTATTCCACTAGTATTGAAATCGTCTTGAATGATAAAATGTAATAACCCACCAGTAACGACAAAAAACTATAGTCTAAAATCTTAAGCACTGCATCTTAAAAATAAAAAAATTTAAAGTTACTTTATTGTATTATCAGCGGAGGCAAGATATATATATATATATATATATATATATATATATATATATATATATATATTCTCACGTATTGATTCACGGATGGAAAAATGTGATGACACTATATTCCGGGATATCATCCGTTCGCTCGTTGAACTCCGACTGGAATCCTGCATCCGACTGGAATCCTGCAAATCTTGCATCCGACTGGAATCCTGCAGACGTTTCGCCAAAGTCTCACTTGGCATCTTCAATGCTCGCGCTCCGAAAACACTCCGAACACTGTTCGAAGTGTTTTCGGAGCGCGAGCATTGAAGATGCCAAGTGAGATTTTGGCGAAACGTCTGCAGGATTCCAGTCGGATGCAAGATTTGCAGGATTCCAGTCGGATGCAGGATTCCAGTCGGAGTTCAACGAGCGAACGGATGATATCCCGGAATATAGTGTCATCATATATATATATATATATATATATATATATATATATATATATATATATATATATATATATATATATATATATATATATATATATATATATATATTCGCTCGTTGAACTCCGACTGGAATCCTGCAGACGTTTCGCGAAAATCTCACTTGGCATCTTCAATGCTCGCGCTCCGAAAACACTTCGAACACAGTTTTCCTGGAATCCTACAGGATTTGCAGGATTCCAGTCGGAGTTCAACGAGCGAACGGATGATATCCCAGAATATAGTGTCATCACATTTTTCCATCCGTGAATCAATACGTGAGAATATATATATATATATATATATATATATATATATATATATATATATATATATATATATATATATATATATATATATATATATATATGATGACACTATATTCCGGGATATCATCCGTTCGCTCGTTGAACTCCGACTGGAATCCTGCATCCGACTGGAATCCTGCAGACGTTTCGCCAAAATCTCACTTATATATATATATATATATATATATATATATATATATATATATATATATATATATATATATATATATATATATATATATATATATATATATATATATCTTTTTTATTGTTATTATTTTTTTTGCTACTATTCTTAGTATTAATATTTTTATAATCAAAAACTGATATGCTCAAATACTCACATTTAGGCTCAAAGTATAGCCTAAGAACGGCCCACAATTTAAAACTACCGTAACACAAAGTTGCCATAAAGTTTAAAAGTAGCCAAATTCCGGCGACCACTGTTATTTTTCCAAAACTCTGCGTTATTAGGTGAATTCCACATCTAACTCTAAAATAACAAAACCAACGTCGTGAAAAAATGTCACTTACTTAAGTACTTACTTACTTTCCATTTTCGCGATAATCATTGACGACGGTGTTCATCATCAAACCTATAAATGTTGCCACAAAGATGTGCTGAACTGTTTTTACATGAGGATTTTTAAAAAGTTCGGTAAGTAGGGATTCTCTTACTTGGAATTCTTTTTCCGGTAGAGATTTCACTTTTGTTTGGCTAAAATTAGTATATCAGGCATTAAACCTATATTGCGTCACTTTGCGATGGGATTGGTATTAAAGGGGGGCGCCCTTTATCAAATGCCTATTTGATAAAGACACGGTGTTGCCGAAACAGCTGTCATTTAAATATATTTATGTGAAAATCTGAACAACGTTTGTTCTTATTTAACTATACTAAATAAAGTGGAATTACTGCCATGATACTATTAATAATATATTGTAGTCCATTTTACTAGCAAAGAGCCGTTTGAACTAAACAGATAGAGAAATAAATATAGCCAGAGCAAACATATTCATAGAAAAGAATTACGTTTCACCCAATGTATTTTTTTAAATGTAGGTCAATAAAACAGTGATTTTGATGTTTGAAAGCTGTTCCCCTATTTGAATATTTTTGGCGGCCCTTTTTCAAAAAACGCCACATTTGTCTCTATCGCGTAATTTTCTTATAGCGCTCTATATCTAAAAAATGTTATTTTATTTTTATATATATTGATATATAAATATAATATATTAACCTATGACATGAATATGTTAGTTCCCTGTTAGGCATGATTTTTAAAACAATTGATTTTTTTGAGATTAAATGTGATTTGGCAACACTGGATAATATTAGATTTCTCTGCAAAGCAACAGAGTTGGAGCAGAAGCGTCAATACAGAATTATAACCTGCTTATGCGCAGTGTGGTTGTATTGGTCGGCGCACTACTGTATTCGCGGCTGTTTTGTTTTTTTTTTTAAAGAAGACATTGTGTGAACAATCCAAATAACTGTTGTTATATCTGTGGTAGTCATGGCGCAGTAAAGCAAAGGCAAACTATAACTTCCCTTATGAAAAATGTATACCATGCTTATTTTGGTGTAAAAATTAGCGACCAAGACAAGTTCTGGGCTCCTCATACTGTTTGCTCCGTTTGCGTTGAAGCATTAAGGAACTGAACTGAACTGAAAGATAGGTAGAAATGTTTAATTTTTGGTGTTCCTATGGTATGACGAGAACCTAGGAATCACAGCGATGATTGTTATTTTTGTTCGTGTAATGTTCAAGGATTCAAGAGAAAAAATAAGAAACAAATTGCGTATCCCAAACTAGACTCTGCTATTCGACCTCATGGACCATATGTACCGATACCTACCGCCCCAATAGAACTAGAAAACGTCCTATCGTCATAATCAGAGGAAACTAATACGGACCAGATGACTTAGATTTCACACCAGATATCAGAGAGCCCGAAGTTTTTAACCAGAGCGAATTAAATGATTTAATTAGAGATTTGCACCTTCGAAAGGATACATCCAGACTTCGTAATCAGCATTTACTAGTATCTGGCGTCACATCATGCTTTTACGGAGATCGCGAAAAAGAGGTATGTGTATGTCAATATTTTACTTCGGATGGACCACTAGTAACAATATTCCTGACTCAAGTAAACGTAGTTTAAGCGGCGTTTTATCGCTCAATAGTAAGGAACTGACCTCAGTTTCCTCAGCACGTTCGGTACATTTAAAAGAAACCTTTGAAAATGTATGACTTCTTTTGAAGAAAATAATCTACCAAGAATATTTATTTGTGAATGGGAGAGTCGGGCAAGAGATACACATTAGACTCATATAGAATGGCCCTCTAGAACAAGCCTAAAAAAAAATTGTTAAAGCCCTAGACAGAAACGAATAGTGTTTCAAATATTTGTGCGCAAAATTTTCAGCCATATCTGATGACAAGATAAAAGAAGATATTTTTGTTGGACCGCAGATAAGAACATTATGCAAAGACAAGGATTTTCCAAAACACGAGATCTAATGTCGAGACAAACCTGGGTTTCATTTCAAGAAGTAATTGGTAAGGATGAAAACTACGAGAGTATTGCTCAAATTATGTTACAACACTTTCGCCGTCTAGGTTGTAATATGAACTTGAACACTTGAACTATTTTACTGAAAATCTTGGAGAGAGGTTTTGCCAGTACATTAAGGAAATGGAACGGCAACACCAAGGCATAACGATGGTGGACACACAGCCCAATATCCGGACAATGCAGCTTTCTGGCAAAAAGACAAAGATTTCACTCAAAAAAGCGTGAGTGTAGTTTTTTTTTTCACGTTTATTAACTAGGATTCCACATTTTTACTGAAAAAAAAAAGATTTTAGAAATATCGTTTTTTTTTCTTCAGTATTTGCAACAAAAAAATTACGTGATACAAATTAATGCATAAAATTTCAGCCTAAAAAAATTATATAAAACCAGTTTTCAAAATATTAACATCTGTCAAAAAGTTTAATTTTGTAGACCTGTGTAATTTGACAAACAATTGTTTAATTAATCTTTGGAGTGGAGGGCTTTAATGTTTTTTTGTTACCTAATTTAAAAGTTAACCGTCGTTATTCACAGGCAAGTCAAATTTTTGATCTTGCCTTGAAACTATTCAAAATAATAAAAAATAATGATAATTAAATGCTAAGTATTTTTAAATTATATTTATTATACAAAATACTTCCGTTTTATATTATTAGTGCATTTTTAAAACATTCCGTTAAACCTGTACCCTTAATAATGAAAGTGGAAACAAAAGCAAAATGAAATTATTTTCTAAACCAAGCACAGAATGGAAACATTCTTTCCTTTTAAATTTGTCAATTATTTTTACTTTTGTATTAGTAAGAGTTAATCTGTCCCAATTTCAAACCTAAAATGGGGAACCCTTGGTATTCCATTAGAATGTTAACGTTTGTGGTCTGCTACAAACTTTATAAAACTTGAACAATTATGCTATTATGTTTATGCCAAATAGCCACTATAAATTTTTAAATTAAATTAAATTAAGTTCTTATAAATTATCATTAAACCCTTACGAGACGAGATTAACTTGTTTCATAGCAAAATACTCATTCTCAATAGTATTAGTGTTCCTTACGAATTAAATTCCCATTACTAATCATAACGAAACAATTAGGTGAACTGTTTGACTCTAAAATAAATAAAAATTTCGTCTTAGAAACACCAGTTTCCTGCCAATTTTTTATTCAAAAAATATTCCTGTAACCTTGTATCCTGTATTTCGAAAACGAAAAAATTCTCGATATAGATTTATATAAGAAATTAGGATTTAAATTCTTTTTTTTTATTTTATCAATTAGGATTATTAAGCTTATACACTGCAATTCGGAGGCGATGTTTACCCAGATATATTGAAAAAGGTTGCGAGTGGACAACGATTCGGTAAAAACGGTAAAAAAGTCGAAACGCTTATAACAAATTCTTACTTACACATCTTTCGATTGCTCCAGCTTAGGTAAATACATTTTACCGTTTCGACACAGTAAGCGTTATAAGAATATATTTATTTTGCAATAGTTATTGATTGTTGTCATTTTCGTAGACATTCTGATTGTGACCTAGTATGCGTAAAAATTTCCATTAAATTGGAAAATTACCCGTTTAATTAATCGTGTTTACATCCGACATCATGTACAAGGTGCTTCGTATTTATTTAGGAACTGTTTTTGTTAGATAAAAAAATAATATTTAATATGTGCAATGCAAAATGCAAAAATGCTCTTGACATTGAAATAAAATTGCTGTAAGGGTATTAAAATAATTCTTTTAATTGCGGCTGACTATGGTTATTTCTCTATAGTGTGTTGAAATGTTGATCATTGTCACAGTCTTGAGACTGAATGTTATCATAGTTATTTAAACAAGGTTAGCAACCAATTAAAAGAATATCATAAATGTTCTTGGAGGCATGTTGATAGCCGTGCAAGTCATATTCATAGTAGAATGTTTGTGCAGCGTGAGTTTGTTAGTAGTGGATATGATGTTAACCTATTTGACAACAATATATTATGCAACAAGTGACTTAAATGTCACGAGTTTGTTTGGCACGAGCGGAGAGTGTTTAATAAAAAGTTTACCAAACGTGTTGCGTACTATACTTTTTCTACAACCCTTATTTTTCGAGTACATTTTTACTAAACAACTCGAACAGATTCATTGACATAAACGTCAGAATTCACCAACGTCAAAATTCAAACCATGCGGTAATTAATCGAAAACATCCGATTGCTCCCAAAGTCGTGCGTTAATATCCCGGAAATATTCGAAGTGGATCGAATCAGTGAGAAACGAAACTGACGCGGTAAAATTACAGTTTCCACACTCCATATCGGTGTATGATTGGGTATTTTACAAAAGGGAGTAGAAAATTCGTATATTATGCAACAAGTGTGGTAAACGGCGTTTGATTTACGAGTCTATTTGGTAAGAGCGGAGCGAGTGTTTAATAAACAACTTACTTAAAAAGTTCACAGAACGTGTTGCATATTATACTTTCTCTACGACCGTTAGTTTTGGGTACATTTTTGCAAACCAGCTCATTCACTGACATGACAGTCAGAATTGACAAACCTCAAAATTCAAAACCGTGCGAAAACATCCGACCAGTGCGGTAATATGTCCGAAATGGATCGCATCCCTGGGAAAGGATTTGACTGAGGCCGTAAAATAACAGTTTCCGCACGCTAGATCGGTGTATAATTAAAAATTTTGCAGAAGGGAGTAAAAAAACATTTTAAGTCGCCCTATACTAGTTATGATATGTAGACTAACCGCAGTTTCATATTAATGAGGTCGTATAACTGATGTGTTTGAACGGAAGTTAAAATGTATATATTCATACCGACCTGAGGATGTCCTAGCAAGTCTTAAAAAGGATTGTGTTTGGTCTTTAACTAGTTCATTTCACCATATTTTCAACCGTTCTCCAAATCGGGTTTTTCATGACAGGAGACTCCTTGATAAAATGGTTACTGACCAGCTGTCAAAGGTTTGAATGTTGAAGAGCAGCATGCCTTCTCTTATGGGATGTCGATTGTTACTAATGAGGATCGCTTTCGACAGGATTAATAATGAGTTCTCTAATATTGCCACACTGTAGTCCTATAATTTTTAATCTTTTTATCAATGTAATGGTTAGTGTTATTCAATTCGTTTTTTGTTATTTGTGGCTAATTTCAATTTATTTGGAACAATTCTAACCTTATGCAATAAGATGCAATCTTATTACAAACTGATGCAAACTATAATTATTGTGTTCTGAGAAAAATGGCTTGTGCCTCAACATAAATAAGTTGTCCTCTATATCTATCATTAAGTAATGTAATTAACAACGAACTTGACACTGTTGACAGTATTGACACTGTTCCGCTAAAACCTGACTTTAGTCAAGCACTTGGATGTTTTATTTGATGCCTAAGTTACAATTAGGAATCATATTATTAGTATTATTATAAATGGATTGTAAAACTTAGGATTTGGTATAACAAATAGTTATGCTGTAGCTATTTCCCGATTCTTTTGTAACTCGTGTACGCTGGAATGGAATATGCTGGTGATCTGTCGTGTTGGTGACATTGACTTTGGGCGGGACCTTGACGTTTAAAACAAATATAAACAATTCGAATGCAGGAGATTAGTGAATTAATGACAGTCTAGCAGCTGAAAAGTTTTTGGTCTTGTCACTAGAAGAGCGTAGAATTCTTTGAAACATAGTTACTTTCTGCTAGATCCTCATTTCTTTACTATCGCAGGATATTGCAAAATTGAAACTTTAATCTTAATAGAAGAACTAACTATTAACGTTCTAATTATAGCTTTCATGGTCAGTTGTTTGTTTAAGACACTTATTATCTACCAATTTTTTGGCAGGTTCCGTTCTTGTAAAGATTTTTGTTAAACGATCACTTCGGTTTGTTGTGATTTTTGTTGAATTTTCACTTTTCCTAACCTTTATCTTCAGTTCTATACTTTTGTTGGTTCAAAGGTCTTATATCTGGTTTTAATATCATTTAATTTTTTCCGTTTTTGTTAACTTGCAATTTGTTCAAGCGTATAAATAAATAAATAAAACTTATGAAATTTTGAATATAATATAAAAAACAACACCTCAATATTCTCAAAATAACCTTTTGGTCGATACTGCGCACCGGATAAAATTACTTCCAGAATATAGGCAGAATATATACTGACCCGTTCATATGATTTTAAAAGTGAGACCCTTCAGTATCGATTGAGTGTCCGTTATGTTACTTATCTTCTCTATGTTACTGAGTTCTGTATTGAAAAAATAATGTTTACAATATCTGAGCAACAAACAGATTTATTTTTCTTACTGATACTAAAAATTATTCCTACATCTACATTATTCCTACCCTAAAATAAAATATTCTAGTAATGTCGACCAACCAAGTAAACAAATTATGTGTTTGTGTGCAGACTTATACACCTATTTTTTATTTTAATTTTAATTTTATGCAGTTAAAACTTTAGTGTTTAAACACAATTTCAAAGAGCAGTTGGGTCAAAATACGCGTAGTGCCAACCAACACAATTTTTAATCGATTGCCGATTCCTGTATTAAATTTATCAAGATTTTGCAGCCAACATTAAAACTAAAAATTAAGAACACTGGTTTTTGTACACGGTATCCGACAACGACTAGCGTTACGTTTGCCTCTTTTTTTATCCTTTTTCCCGCTTCCTTAACCTCACCGATTCGTACCGCCTTTCTTGCTGACAAGACTCGTATTATATCCGATTCAGAATATTTTTTTAGATTTATTTGATCATTTTCTGAATTATTTTTTTATTGATATATGTCTATGAGACTTTGTTACTGCACCAGAAAGAGATTTGATTAAAACTTTATTTGGTCCAAACTATACAATTTATTCAAATCTATAAATAGATATGTCTAAATGCATTTACAATGTAAGTTCGTCAAACGGATTCAGTGCACTTTTTCCCTGTAATTTCCGTCTTAATTGTAAATTAATGGTAGGTAACTATACCCACTATTTAAACTACTTTAAACTATAGCTATTACTTGTTAAGAAATTTTAAATGGTTCGCAATGTAGTATATATTGATTCTTTTGCTTTTATAAAATTTTTTGTTGTATTAATTTAACGTATTGTTATTTTCTTTTAATAAATGAAGACTATGCAGCTCAATAGCATGCAAAAAACGAGACTAAACTAATTTCAAATATGCTTTAATTATAGAGATAGCTGCGGTGCTAACCTTATCTGGTTCGAGTAAGATAGCTCAATAATTTAGTTTAGTAGTCAAATTTACTCACGTAAATAAATAACATAAGACAGCGACTAATGTTAGTTGTAAAAAAGGAAATTGAGAAGAAAATTAAATAAAACTAACTTACTAAATATCCGCACTCTTCTTTTAGCAATAAGTGCCTAATTTTTAGAAAAAGGGCAACGACATCTTTTTTAGCTCTTGGACAATTAAAAATATAATATATTTTAATTGTGTGTACTACCTAAAGTCATAAATTTAAAAAAAAAATTCTACCTATTGTTGCGTTACGTGAAGATGAAGAAAACTGGTTTTCATAGATCTTTTACATTTATGTAATTTTGCATAAACTATGCCTTAGAACAATTTTTTCTAAACAACGTTGGTTTTCTTGTCACCAACTCTTTCGTAACATGAGAAAATTGAGTCCCTCATATATATTTCAGTTTTAACTGCACATTAAATGTAAAAACTAATCCTAATACATATGAGTCACTTCAAAATTCCAATCTGTGTAAACATGAAGAGCTAATGTTAAACATATCTATATCTATATCCGAACACCTCTTATTATAGGAGAGTTAGAAAAGTAATTCTACCTAAAAATATCAGTCTCGTTCGCACCTGATATGGATTAGAGTTGAAGCTCAAGTAATTTATTCAAAAAGAAGAATCCACAAGGTTATTTACAACTTTGTAAAGAAAAGCAATATCAAAACGGTTTCTTCTGTGTCGATCTGTGTTGTATCTAAAGTTTAAGTCGTTAAAAAGTTTTTTTATATGTTTTCTATTCTGATGATATATCATTAGTCTCAGCCCAGATTTCTCAAACATTTTTGACAATAATTTCGATATGAGCCCTTTAAATTTAACTGTAAGTCAAGAACAATTCCCATGTCTTTTACTTGCTTAACTCTTTTCATCTGTAGTTTCTGCAATAATCAGTAAATTCGTCAAGATCGCTTTGAAGCCCTAATGCATCTAAATGTGAACGAATCTCTTATTTTACTTTTAAATTATCGGCAAAAGAAGCATAAATAGGAACCGAAAAACAAAGGCCAACATCGAAAACAAAAATATTAAAGAGTAAAGGGCCCAGATGAGATCCCTGGGGGACACCCGAGGTAACATTTGCACAACGAAATTTTTTACCATTGACAACAACAAACTGAGTTCTATCTGTAATATAGCTTTGCAATAGTTGCAAGACATCGCCATGCACACGGAAATTTCCAAGTTTAAGCATCAGAGTTGGATGATGTATTTTATCAAAAGCCTTGGAAAAATCGGCATACACAGCGCACGGAAAAATTGATGTCATGGATGAACGGTACCAAGTTGTAAGAACTGAACGTTTTTTGTGAAAACAATGTTGATCGGATTATTCTTTACTAGAATAAATTGCAGCCTCAAAAACCTTGCCAAAGTGACATAGGACAGAGATAGGACGATAATTAGGGGTGCATGTAGAATCACCAGACTTTAAAATAGGGACTATCTGGGCCACTTTCCACCGTTTTGGAGACGTTGCTTGACCTAGACATTTATTAAAGAGAATGTTAAGAGGTATGGACAAAAGTGGGCAATTTTTGATAAATTGTGCCGGTACGCCGCCCGGCCCTGGATCCTTTTTAATTTTAAATTTAATTTTAAATTGAAATTTATTTTTGAATATTTTGGAAATAAAACCACTTTTTATAATTATTGCTTTATATAAAAAAATACAACGACAGGTACAGATTTGTTTCACATATATCAACCGATGCAATCGCAAGTAAACAGTCTAGGGACAAACACTTCCCAAAGTGTGTGATTCTCCACGGGAACATTGATTCTTACAAAATATTCCATAGAATATAAACTAGTAAGCAACCCGCTACCGAATGCTAAAAAGTACCAGAATATTACGTTAATGATATCCAGCTTGGGGGTGCGGAAGAATGTCATAACGGTGCCAGAGAATAGAAATACCATAAACAAAGCGGGGAAGAAAAAGTGGAACATGTACGTAAGGACCCATTCGTGAACTATAGCGGATATCACAAATACGGCAAACTTGGCGACGCTTTTGTTACCCGGCACGAGGAATTCGTAGATGTCTTTATAGATGTATGTATATAACCAATCATAAACAACCACATTCCATGTCCTAAAATACTCAGGATAGTTCGTTGACGTCCACCAATCCTTGTAAAACATCCTGTCACCGAAACGTAATAATTCACCCACTAAGTTTTGCACCGAATGCAGGACCACGTAAAATCCACATAGCAAACATAATAGTCCACACGCGCTGTTCTCGCAAATGGAAAGAATTATTTGACTGGCGGTAAACCTCTTAAGACCTATGTGCTGATACGGTTGAATCATGAATTTCTCGACGAGGAACGCGTAGTAAAATATCACACCAATAATTTCAGCGCTTCGTTCCAAAATGAAGTTCCACCTAATTGTTTTTGACCTGAAAATGATTTAAAAAAATTATACGAACCAAACACGTCCTAAATAATAGCCATAATTTAAATGGCCAGATGTCTATTTTTTTTTCTGAATTTTTTTTTTCAGAAAACGGCACTAATCTAGAAATTAGAGGTACCAGATTTTTTTATTGTGATAAACACACAATAACGCTTAGCGGAAATATTTAATTGGCATCTACTTTGTATCAACACTAATAAAAATTGAACTGAGGTGGCTTTTACTTGATGAAAATCCATTTATCAAAATAAATAAGAACTAAAAGTTCAGATTTTCACGAAATTATATATATATATATATATATATATATATATATATATATATATATATATATATATATATATATATATATATATATATATATATATATATATATATATATATATATATATATATATATATATAAATGTCATTTGATAAAGACACGGTGTTGTCGAAACGATTGTCATGTCATAATATATAATTTCACTAAATTAAAATTAGTGGTTCTTAATAGGTACATTATCCGGATCAAAAAAGTACTAAAACTTATATTTTCTAGGATAACTGGTGCTGGCAAAAAACAATATAAAGTGCCATTTTTTAATAAATTCGTTTGTGCCCAAGAAATTTGAAGAAATAGAAATATAATTTCCCATGAAAGAGCATTCAATTATCCCCTGTGACAGTCACCTGAGTGTAAATAGTTGATAAGAAATGCGGTTGACTAGGATATTACAAAAATAACTGCCATAACATTAAATCTTTCTGAGCCAAGTACTTACTGATTAATAAAAACATAAAGTAATAAATACAATAAAATTTATTGTCAAGGAATACTGCTTAGAAGAAATGTGAGATAAACGAGAAAAGTGCCCCTAAATGTAATAGCTCGTTGCTAGAAATGCAATGCATAAAATGAAATATAATCAGAAGTAGACAATTTTAAAGTACAAAACTGTCTGACTGGCTTGTGGGAAAAACGAGGGTTAAAGTTCGGCCTAATTAAGAACTCTTTTTGGTGTAGAACACAAGTTTCTGTAACGATGCAAATATCATTATTATCCACTGAATAACAAGAAGTTTAGTTGTTACTTACCTAGGATACTGATCCCTGTAAACAAGCGTAGGAGCAAACAAAAAATAAATAAAATGCGTTAGGTTTGCAATATTCAGTTTCTGATCGCTGTGGGTTTTGAATTTGAGAACTTTCGGCGCGTTGCTTCTCATAAAGGCGTGAATTTTCATTACAATTCTCGTCTGAAATACCAAAAAAATAAAAAACAAATGCAAACTATAATTTTTGTTGGGACTTACATGTTCGAGACACACGATCGCAGATGACCCAATAGGCAGATCAAAATATTCCACTAGTATTGCAATTGACTTGAATGATAAAATATAATAACCGACCAGTAAAGACAAAAACGTATAGTCCAAAATTTTAAATGCTACATCTAAAATATTACACTTTCATAACCATTTTGTATTTCCAAAAATCGAATATTATGGTCTGTGAAATGTCCAAAATGTCATAAAAATTTTGTAGCAATACCCACCTTTAGGTTGAAGATTTCTTCTAAAATTGGCCCACAATTTAAAATTCCCGTAAGACACAATCGCCAAAAAGTTTAACAAGAGCCAAATTCCCACGACTAATTCAATTTTTCCGAAACTTTTTGCTATTAAATGAAATCCAAACCTAATCCTGAAATTGACACAGAAATGTTATGAACATTCCAAAATTAATGCCCAATAAAAAATGAAAACAAAAATTTCCTCACTCTCCATTTTTGTGGTAATCCTGGGCAACGGTATTTACCATCAAACCGACCAACGATGCGGCGAAAATATGTTGAACTGTTTTAATATGCGGATTCTTGAAAAGTTCGGTAAGTAGAGATTCTCTTACTTCAAATTTCCTTTCGGGTAAGGGTTTCACTTTTATTTGGCTGCAAATCACATAGTATATGTAGTCGTATGGTATATAATAATAGCACAAATCGTAACTTTTAAAATTTGTAATTTGTAAAACTGTTTATCCAAAACTCTTAGCCTAAGACCCAAAGTAACCAGGATATTAAAATAAAACCACATTTTTAAATTTTAAGCTTTTAAAAATAAGATCCCAACAATTTAATCTAATGTCACTCAATTTTTAAAGCGTACCGAATAATACAAAATTTGTCCTGGGGATGACTTTCTAGAGAGACATGAGCAAAATAAAAATTGACTAAACATACCAGTTGAAGCGTTTTCTGAGTAAACGATGAACAAACAAAAATAAGAAATTTTTAATTAATTTAATATCTATTACATATCGCCATGGACCTCAGAGTCAAAAAAATATTCTTTATTTCAGGTTTATGAATTTAAAATTTTATTAAAATTTTCCGCTTTTTCTATTTCGAATGAAGGTGGTTTTTTGCTTGTTTTAAGAAATTTTAATACACAACGGCGCAGTACAAATTAATCTGTTTAAAGTATTAATAATGTTTACATTTGTGCCGACTTCCTCTTCTTTTTTATGAAAGTTTGTTCCTACAACATTTAGTTGAAGAAATGAGTTTCTTTGAGATTTTTTAAAAACGTACGACATAAAAATGTTGAAATGTATTTTTTACACATTGAATATACTGTATAAAATGTGTTTGACTTTTTTGCTGATTAAGTCACAAATACCATATTAGGATGTAATGTATTAAGTTCATTTAACTCCAAATAATGACAAAAATATGACTTATATTTTTTATCAAGAATAATTATTTTGTGTTTATATATACATTAGGTATTATTACTACTGTTAAATGGGTAACTAGCGGCCATATTTTAGTTTAACAAAATTTATAAAATTTTCTCTGTCCCCTGATATTTTTTACTATGATTCGTTCCTACAATCTGTGTAATTGATTTCTAGGCAATATACCATAGGTATTAATAGATAGATTCTACAAAGATTAGTTTTTTTTTTCAAATAAACAAACAAAATCTGGAATTAATAACTGTCTTCAAAACGTACACCTAAATAAAATTACATCTCCGGTTATAGAGTTAATTTTTTTGCTACAAAAAAATTTGTTTTATAATTTAAAAAAAATGGTTTTCTTTAATCATAATTTGAACATTACTGAACGTCTTATCAACATGGTAAACATGTGGTAAACATGAAAGGATATTTTTGAAAAAGAATGGCACGGCAGTGGTTCTTCTAAAACTAAAAATTTTAACTAACCAACGCTCAATCTCAAAAACGAAACAATTATAACATCTCATAAAAAATGGTTTCCTGTCAACTGTTAGTGTATTTTTCGGTTCCTCATGTATGTAACAGAGGAATGGTAAATACTAAAACTATTAAAAGCTTAGGATTGTCACCCGAGAATTATATCACAGTCTTAAAGTATTTCAAATTTGACTGGCCATATTTTTTTTTTTGGGAACCTCCCGGGATATTTATGTATACTTACCCATTTTTTGATTCGTCGGACCTCGACGAAAATACTTTGCTGTTCCGCGAGTCCTCACTTTGAGGTGGACTCATTTGGCAATGTGATCAATTGATTCTTAGCTTTGTTCCAAATTTTCATAAAATCTGTCTATATATCTGCAATTTAACATATAACATAAAAACAAATAACATAAATTCCAAAATGCCGAAATTCGGAAAATAGAAGGAATGTAAAAACCTCAGCAGCTTCGGTATATTTGAAAAATAAACTGGGTTGTACGTGCCAGATATTTGATTGACCGTTGCTCCAAAAAGCGTTTCAAGGCCGTTTTCTTTTTTTACAAGTGTTTGTAGATCATTATTTTTTAAGCTAAAAAAATGTGCAGTTTATCAAAAAATTACTTACGCACAATTATAAGGATAATTTTGGCAGTTTCGTACAACAATAATAGTTAAATGATTACAATATAAATATAACATAAAATTTCAAATTGAAAATGTTTGATGGCTCGATAAGATTCAATTGTACGCATTTTTTTTATCTTCAATTTTCTAAGTGCTAAATGTAATCATATTGGCGAGTTTTATTATACAAGGTATAGAAGAATAGCATACTAACGTCAGAGCGGGGCGCCAATTTGCTCTAAGGTTCCTCTGAGGAAGCTCATCAAACGGAGATAAAAATAACAATAAGGTTTGGACGATTTTTAATATTTGCGTGTAAATTTACGATAACATCGATTTTGATATTGTCAAAACTATTATAAGAATTTAGTTACATACTAGATATGCTCTACAAATATACGCCGATATTCTCAACGCACATTATTACTCCGTAAAAATTTTAGCTCATCAGATTTGTGATTTTATGTACATGTTGTTGTTGCCCAATTCTCGCTCTTGTTTTATGATCGTACGTTCGAAATTTTGTCATTTTGAAGCTTTTTCTTTTTTTGTGAAGTAATAGACGTAAACGGCCACGGTCTTTGTTACCACGTTGCCAACGGTAAGCCTAAGCTAGAAGCAGTAGATAAACAGTGATATATAATTAATCAAGGAGTAAACCGCAGAGGGAAAAGTGTATGTATACATCGTAATGCACTGTAATCATTCTAATTTTTCTAATTCCATAAGTTTTCTGACGAATGGTGGAAAATTCTATTTTTGTGTTCCAAAATGTTTTATATTTAATACGACACCCTTAAGCTTGGAAAACTTTTTTAATGAACGTAACATTCGTTTTTAGTAGAAAACTACAAAGTCTGAATCAACTTTTTAGCAACAGTCCCCCTGCGCTGGGACACCCTATAAATTAGAGTTTCTGGTGGGATATACTGGGTGTTTGAAACGAAGGTATTCGCATATTACAACACTTGCATGCAGACACAAAAATAAATAACCTTACTAAACTGCCGAACACAGTACATATGTATATTTTAAAATAAAAATGTTGATACCAATCTCACCTGGCAAAGAAACTACTTCATCAACCAATGGCGAAACGAATACATATATGAGTAAGTATTAACAAACTTGCCACAAAAACATTCTCAGCACTTACCTAAACTTAACAAATGAATTACTGTTTATATTGAAAGAAACAAAACAACTTGACGTAAAAAGGTAACGCAAAACACATTCTTATATTCTCGTCACTTCGTCGAAGTCGTTAAACTGGGAAATACGCACGACGAATCTTTGTTAAAGAAAAAATGTTAAATGACTTTTACTGATTCATCAAAACGATACAGATAACGACCAATCAAACGGACCTGTGTCTGCGCAATACGCATGTTTTGCTTTTTAACAGTTCTCTCTTATCAACTAGGTAACGTGTTTCGTTTATCAGCTTTTCAACGTCGACATTGTAGTGGGTCCATTGCGCGACTGTGATTTTGCGGGCTTCAAAAAATAACAGACAATTATGATTATTATTGCGCAATAATTTTAACGTTAACTTGTTATTGATAGATATTTCAGTATCTTTTCCTTATACAGGGTGATTGGATCTTCAACTGCAATGTAATTCGCTTATTGAGCAACTCTCCCTGTATTGTGATATGGACATCATACAGGGGATTTTTATTACTAATAAAAGAAATATTGCCCTTTCCTTTATTTTGTATATTGATTAATGATCAAGAGATACTTATACACGAAATACCTTAAAAAGTTTCCAACAGGAATGTGGGGATCCCTTAAAACAAACAGTTTTCGTTAGTTAGCTAGTTAGGCTTTGTAATCAGTAAGTCAATTTTTGTGGCAATACCCCGAACTATCGACGCCATAGCTTTCGTTCAGGACTGAATTCACAAAATAGAGGAAAACAACAAAACACAAAACAGTTAAGGGCGAGTTGCTCAATAAGGTATTTAATAAGGGAGTTCCATGACAGTTAAGGATTCAAAGGCAAGCCTGAGAACTTTACTCAATAAAACTGAATTATTACCCCATCAAAACGCACTAAAATCAAGTAATTGTAATCTTTTGACATGTTTAAAGTAAGACCATTTAAAATACTATAACTTCGTAAACATTTCTCTGCCCTCGCAAAATACTATACTGGCTTATTCTCTGCTAGATCACTAATGAAGCATTCCCCATATTCAGTTCACACCATACCGAGTCCTGCCGCTGCTGCTGAGATAACGATTCCAGCAATAACCATGGCGGGCAATGATTATCATAAAATCATCAAGATGAAAGTGCGACCCTAATAAAAAAAATAGTCCGACAGCGAATTTGTAATCACAAATTACAAATCTCCGAATTTGGCGAGTCTTGCAAAATATCCTAGGAAACTGTCGTTCTTTTGGATTCAAAGTGGTCGTTCTACACTTCAACATTACTTCCTAAAGATGCAATTTTTCAATAAAATTAGGAGTACCTTCTAAATGACAATTCGCGTCCCTAAGTACTATTCAGTTAAGCATGTATAAAAGGACATTTGGACACAACTGTACCTAACTGTCACAAACAAAAAATAATTTAATTAAATTAAATCATTAGACACTCGCTCCGATATTGCGTTTATCCAACTCGTTTCACAATGTACTTTTTCTATTCCCCGCTCTAAAACGCATCAAGAGGCGGTGCGTGGAAAAATTAATTTTAATTTAATTTTTTTAATTAGACAATTTCATTTTACCATGAAACGTCGATCAAGTAATTTAGAAAAGAGCTAACATCAAAGCAAAAAAGTGCTTTGACCAAAACCAAAGAAAAGAGTGCGCCTACTAAATATCTTTAGAATGAAGCGAATCATATATTGGAGACACCAAACAGCCTCTAAATTTAGTCACAGAGAGACTAAGGTGACCAAACGTCTCATTTTTGGCGGCACAGTGCCGATATTTTCACAATTTCTTCCGCGTTCCGCGACGTTTTTCAAAAGTCCCATCTTTTAGAATTAAGTTAAACTTTATATTAATGAAAAACATTGTTTTGCGTTCTAAGAATCCTAAATGCTTAAAGAATTTTGTGAAACTGTGGAAGTTGAATATCAGAAAATACTTGGACACAGTAAAACGCGTTGGTTAGCTCTTCTGCCAGCTATCGAAATACTTTCTATCACATGATAAATATCCTATAATTTTAGAAATGTTTTTTTGAAAAAAATCTTCTAGAGTTTCGACAAAATCAAACTGCTCTTTTTCAAAATGTTATAAAACTTAATGAAGGTGACAAAATGGCAATCGAAGTAGCAAATGAAGTTCATAATTTAAAATCTCAATGTCAAAACAATAGTCTAAACCAGCTCGAAGAGCAATAAATCGTCAATATATCATGAACCATGGCAAAAAATTTTATAGTAACTGCAAACATTATTTGGAAGACTGGATGGTACAATGTAATGATATTCATCATTTTCGTTGGGTTACATTAAAACCAGAACTTAATTGGGACAATGTGCAAAAATCATTTGATAGTAATATATTTAATTAGTTAATTAACGAAATATATTAATATTAATAATTAATTAAAATAATTAATAATTTTATTTCGTTTTTATGACCTTTTTAATGAAGTGTCATTAGTAAAAAATATATTGATGAGGAAAAGTTTAAACATTGGGCATCGGAAAAAATCACAGCACTCAAATAAAAAATGTCTTATGTTAAAAATTTTTGTTGATTACTCATCTATAAATCTGGTCACCTTAAGAAAGACGTAACATTAAGGTCAGGGATAGAAGAGCTTATATGGTCTCCATAACAAAGACTAATAATGTTTTCAACAACACCTACTACTGCTTATACTACTGTTTGTAAACAACAGTAATCCTTTCCCAAACATTATGTAAATAAAACAGATAAAGGCAATGGAAATCTGAAGCTCTCTTAGTTAAGGTATGTAAAATGTTTAAACAATCTCATAAAAATATTCTTTTATTAATACATATCACAATCTGTTACAGTTCGCCTATTGTTTTGAGTTCTTGGAATACAAAATCACTATTTTTTTATATTTCGTAATGGTACAAAAAATCTGCCTTTTTAGAAGGGTTAAAGAAGAAATATCAAGTAATCTCCATGCATATATGCGCCACGTTAATTGTATAATAAAATTTAAACATATTTAAAGAACGAACAATAATAAACTCAAAGAAATGGAAAAATAAAATATGGGTTCTTTTTAGTTTAACTAAAATAAATACTGTTAACATGATGGTTTCCATGTTTATCACTGAGTACAACTAAAAATAGCTTTATGTTACATACATGCTATTGCATAGTTCAGGTAAACTGTCAAAAAAAAAATCTGGAAAACTCATTCAACCTTATCATTTTTTACGAGAACTGATAACCCTCCCAGCGCAATATATGGCAACAACTTTTTACTATGTACACATTTTTATAAACTGCTTTTTACTCTAAAAATGTAGCGACACAAGCCATCAGCGTAATGCCTGTGATTAATGATAACATCTGCTTGCAAGATTCTTTGGGATCTTCTTCTTTCAGCAGATCTGGAAGCACCGTTACAAGACCAATGTGAAGAAACGTGCCTGCTGTGAAAGGCATTATCCAAGACGTTCTTGCCTCTGAAAACGTCAAACTCTATTAAAGGTGCATGGTGATATAAAATATTTTTTTGAAAATTTTAATTTTATTCCGTTGATCAACCAAATTAACCAAAACTAACCAGGAAAAACCGGTACAGATCTTAATGTTATCTGTCATCACGTTATCCAAAAATTTCAAGAAACCACGTGAAACTGTGACCTATCCTGGATAACTTGGCAGGTCACCACTGATAAGAAAAAACAATTATATCTCAAATATTTGATCTGAAAAACAACATATGTTGGTATTCACGATAAAGCAATGAACAATATATTTGCTTGAAGATAAAACAGATAAACGATAGTGGGGGAAAATCTTAAAACTGTAAGTACCGATTACAAAGCAGGCGAATAATAACTGAAGTATTGACAATTGTGAATATTATTTTGTTTAAATTGTTGTAGCAGATACAAAATAGCACCATAAGTACCTTACTAAATACACAAATTTTGAAACCTTTTGTATATCGCCTGTAGATAAAATATATTTTATTACATATTGTATGCTATATAGGGAAGCTCGTTTATTATGAGATGACACGTTATCTGAGAACCTGTGTAAAATATAAAAAAAAAAACACAAAAAAAGGTGGTTTGGGTTCACTTAAACAAAATATATTTTTGATGCAGGATATTTGTAGTTGTTTGTACGGATAATTAACAACTTTATTTTATATTAAAAGATACCGGAAGATTGAAAAATGACTTTAAAACTACCAATGCACAAAAAAGGAGATAACAAGAACTGCAACAATTGTAGAGGAATATCATTGAAACTGTTTGAGAAAATAGTTGAGAAGAGACCACGATCAAAAGTAGCACCAACTCTAACAGAAACGCAAAGTGGGTTCCGGAAAGGGAAAAGTACCCAGCATCATATGTTCACTTTAATGGAAATAATTTCTAGAAAATTGGCAAGATTTAAAGCAGTAAAATCTGGAAAAGCCTACAAGCCAGAAACGTTGACAATAAACTAATAAGAGTTATCAAATGTTTATACAACAAAACAAGAAATTGCGTGATAAGTAAGAATATGAAATCAAAAGCATTTAACACACCAATACTATTCTTAACTTATATGGATGATCTAATTAAAATGGCAGAACAGCGATCAAAAGACGTATACGTTGCATACCGACAACTAGAGCGTATCTACAAATCGGAATGTGCCTTTGCCGATGATAAAATGATTATAGCAGCAATCTCGAAGGATCTGGAGGAAAATCTTAATAATTAGGATCAGATACTAACAAAAAACAGAATGAAAATGAACATAAATAAAACCAAAGTTATGGCAGCGTCATCTCGCATAGGCATATAGGGCCAGAGCCCCGCTTGGGGATCGCCCCGTGTGTGAGGCGGGGAGCTCTCGAAGCCTGGGCGAGAGACCGGGCCGCGGGGGGCTGGAGAGTTGCTCCGGGAATGAGGCAGGCGAGGCTTATGATGGATGGGCCCGCCCTTCCTCCGACCAGGGAGCTGCTTAGACTGACCAGGAGGGAGTGTAGAGCACTAACAGGGGCCTATACAGGACATTGCAGGCTTAGGAGGCATCTCTCCTTGCTAGGCATTGGAGACGACCCGGAGTGTAGGTGGTGCATGGAAGGGGAGGAGACCCCGTATCATCTGCTCACCGAGTGCCCTGCCTTGACATGGGCAAGATTGGGAGTCTTCGGAACGGCCCTGATCGATCCGGACTCAGTGCACGGTATTGGGCTAAAGGAGTTGCTGACCTTCTACAGGAGGGGCGGCATTCTGGACGCCCTCTAGAGCGGCCTGGGGGCACAACGGGCCCATCTGGTGGCCTAAGTGCTTGGACGCCCGCGAGGGCGCCCCCCTTTAATACCAATACCAATACCAATGGCAGTGTCATACGAAAAAGAGAAATTAGAGGGGAGAACACATGGGGTACTAATAGAACAAGTTAGTAGCTTCCAGTACTTGAGAATTATGTTCGAAAAAAACAGAAGTTCAGGTTACAGGAGAATTAAATAATAGAATAGAAAAGGCAAATAGGGTATACTACGCATTGAGCAAGGGGCTCATAAATAAAAAGGAAATTTCCAAGGAAACTAGAATGAAACTTACATATGGCTCCGAGTCTTGGATATTGTCAGATAGGGACAAGAGCAAAATTGGCGCAGCAGAGATGAAATACTTGAGGGGAATGAAAGGAATAACCAGAAGAGACAAAATTAGAAATGCACACATAAGAGAAGAGTCAAAGGTGGAATCCATAGAAGAATTCATAGAAAAGAAACAACTTGGCTGGTGGGGCCATTTAGAGAGATTGAGCAGCACTATACCAGTTCAAAGAGTTTGGCAGAGTAAAGTGCAGGGAAAGAGGAAAAGAGGAAGAGGAAGAGAAACGTGGGCCAGCCCATTGGGTAAGATTTTGAACAGAGGAGACGAACATGTGTAGAAGCTAAAAATTTGCCACTAAATAGAAAAGACTGGAAACTCTTTACGGATAGTTAGCTAAATTGCATGTAGAAATGTAACGCTTACACTCTATGGGTAGAAAGGGACTAGATTATATTATTATATTATTATATTATCTATATTATATTGTTTTATATTATGGCATTTTTGAAGTCCTTGCAACTTTATAGATATATTTAATATCCTATATCTAAGTCTTGATGTTGTTATTTATTTAGTGTTAATTTTTTTATAAAAGGGGGGCCTACTTTAGTGGGCTGTGATGATATTTTAAAGGTAAATAAAATTAAATTAAAAATTCATATGAAACAATCATATTTTTCAGATCAAAACAATAACAACAAGAGTTATAATTTTATGATATTTAGCAATTCAAAAACTTCGTATAAGGTATTGATTTACAAAAGTTATTTAATTGTAAAAATGCTCTACAGAAAAAAAAATAAAAGAAAGAACAATCAACCGCTGCAGAGGTGCCCGGTAATTAAGTTTATAAATTAAATGTTTAATTTTAAATTATACACAAATTTTCTCAAAAACATTTTGACATTTGCTAAAAAATGTACAAATGGGCAAAAATTTAAAAAACTACGACCCTTCAAATAAGCAAAACTTGTTCAAGACCAGCTGTATTTGATAAATGATAAAAACTGGGCGTTTCCGTTAAAAAAAAAAACTTTAAAGATTTTTTCTTTAATTTTTTTTACGTTATTTTAATGCGACGTTGCTATGAATCGTAGACCCAATGACTATTAAACATACCTAAGGTTGTAGTGGCGCCGCTAAACATGATAGCGCACAATGCTCCAATCAGACCACCTCCAGCAGTGAGCAACTGGAAGAGCCCCGCATCCAATCGGGTGAATCCGGATTTCAAAAGAATGGCGAAATCGCCGACCTCGTGGGGTATCTCATGCACCAATATGGCGAATGTCGTCAACAAACCTAAACGCGGCGACACCAAAAAAGCTCCCCCCAAACTCAAACCATGGGTGAAGTTGTCAATTGAGTTTGCCACCAGGTTTAAATAGCCCGCCATCTGAAACATTTTTTTATGTAATTACATTATTACAAGAAATCTGTAAAGTGTCAACAGTTGGTTGAACTTTTAAAACTTAACCTTTGGTACATTGTTCAAATATATACTGTGTTAGTAATTTGTTTTTTTATTCATTTTTTATAGCCGTTGCTAAAAAAAGCGGCTTCCGGGTTTATCAAACTTGTTGCATAATATACTACTGTGAGTTAGCACTTGGTAATTATATCTACTTTATTTTTCACTGTTGTTTCGAACTAGATTTTGCGATAAGAAAATAAATTATGGTTGAAACTTAAAAAAAGGGGCAACTGTCTTACTTGTCTTTTTCCGTTGACCGGCAAACCCTTTACGTTGTTATTTTCATTTTGAGCTTGCAAATCGGCATGATGCTCGCTCACTTTTTCTATCACAGAAAATAATTTCTCGGCAGTTACGAAGACTAAAAGTCCCGATAATATCAATAGTCCGCTTGCTATGTTGGAGTGCCCTGCAAAATTAGAGTAAACCAATCATATACGCATATTAGAATAGCTATGAACAGAAATTTACCGCTTTTGGTAAGGTTACTAGCCCATATTTCAGGAAGTGAATGCAGGAATACGTCGCCCAGTAGTCCGCCGACCGCGAAACTTAAGAGACTCTTTAAAGTGTTTGCACTTTCTGAAAAATATAAACATAAATAATTATTATGTTATATTGTGGTTATTTAAAACATAACATAATATTTTCTAGTGGACCGTTAGCCGAGAGAAATCTTTATTATTTCTGCAAAAAATAGCTCAAATTATTTAATAATTCTTTGATCTATCTATTGTAACACAGGTATAACGCATGTGATTAAACGCACACCTCAACGCAGAATAAATTCGGTCAATTTACGACCGGAAGAGAAATTATACAAAAGACACAGATAATCCACCCATACAACGAAAACTTTTGAAGTGATCGACGTGTTTTTCTTCATTTAGTTAAGAATATTTTGAACTTCCCAAAAATTTATGGTGGATGCTAAAGATGTCTGACTAAAACGCCGATAAGAAAGATACAGGACGTTTTAGTATGAGGTAATGTTAATAAATATATATATAATCAGCAAACAAAACCAAACTCGCCCAAACTGTAAGTGTAATTTAATATTGAAATATGAATAAAAATTTATAAAAATATTTGCATACATCAAAATTAAAAGAATTAAATTAAAAAATAAGGAAAATAATTATCGTTAAAGAGTTGGAAAATTTGTCCATGAGGAATTTAGATAAATTTTCAATGGATATAACTGAGTCAATCAATACTTATAAATGTCTATTTCCTAAAAAGAAGACAAAGACAGAGACAAAGAGACAAACACAGAGATATTTTTAAACTTGAAAATAGCACTTACGCTTTTAAAAGGATTTCTATGATTTTATTCACATTTTTGAGTAAAACATCGGATGGACATTTCCGTTATTACTTTATACATATATGGGATTCTTCAATAATCGGTATAAAATTGAAGAATCACCTTTCAAACTTCGCAGTTGGAGAAACCTTACTACAAAGAAAGTTTTTAAATTCCTAAATAATCTACTAAAACTAAATAAATGAACATTTTAGTAGTCTTTATTGTTCTGCGTACACTAGAAAGAGTTACGAAAGACATTTTAGTAACAGTGACGAATCAAGAAAAAGAAAACGAAAGACGTTTTAGTAACAGTGGTAAATAAAAAAAAAACAAATACTTGCAAAATTTCTATCTGCAAAAAAAAATTATTATAATTAACCAAATTCCATATCGCGCAACTTTATAAACTCATTTGTTTTGATGCAAATAATTAGATACTACAAAACAAGCACGCAGCTGCACGCGATAGTTTTTCAGAGTAAATTATTATGCATTATTTAATTCTCTGATTTCCTTATCAACCACCATAATAAATCCAAAATACAAAGGATGTATGCGGTCGGCTCATCAAAATAAGCTCACGGACGGTTACATAAAACGTGTGTAAACTGGTAAATGACGGGAACAGGAATCTCGAGAGGGTATACTCAGATTGAAAGCAAATATGAAAACAGCATTTAAATGCCAAATTTTCATTTGATTTCGTAGCTGATGGTGCCACAACAGATTTTCAAAGAAATTGAAAATGATTTGAACCCACAATAATAATTATTGTTTTTTTTTTGTATTATTTATAGGGTTACGGGACAACTGAATAACTATAGAAAGCCATAACTTTTTAAAGATTTTATTTATTAGCGAATAAAACACCTTACCGACATTGTCAGCCATGGGCCATGGAAGAAGAACGAGAGTAAAACGGTTTTACCTATTACCACTGTTAATCAGTTATAAACCATAAAACAAGTGCATGTTAAAGAGGTTACATAACTTCATGGTTAGAGCTGGGAACTAACAATTTAAAAATTCCGACTACATATTTGTATTTTATATTACTGTACTGTACTGTATATTACGTTTTTGTATATAATTTAATAAATCAATTAGAAAAATGAATAAGGCAGCAGGGAGCGTCCGTCTCCTAAAGTATTTTGGCAGATTATAACTCGAAAATACAATGAACATGTAGTTTTCATTTGCTTTAAGTTTTTGCTTACCTCGGTGCCAAATCTCAATTTCTATCAAAAATTAGCGAAAAAAAATCTACATAAAAAGATTACAAGCATAGTTCACACAGAACACACTGTATCTTTAACAAATCTCTAATAAAAATTAATGTGTAGAAAAGTTGTTTCTATTTTGTTTTCTCTTCTTATATATATATACCGTTTCAAATGGAATATTAGCATGCAACATATCGTATTTCATTGAATATAAACCCATAGTCTCCATTGGAAACAAAATCTTACTGGCTAATTTAAAAAATTCAAAGAAAAAGCCAAGTAAATATGATACCTCTATAGATAAACGCCCTGCTTCGACTCGTAGAAAGCTATAAATTTTGCAAGAAAATTGAAAATAGTCGAAAATTCTACAAAAAATAAAAAATGTTAACACTTTAACACCTCTTCATATCTTTAAACCTGAAAATAACACTTACGCGCTTCTTTTAAAAGGATTCTAGGATTTAAATCGCATAATACATATGCGCACATTTCTGTTATTTCATTTTAGATATATGGAATTTTTTAATAATCGGTATAAAACTGAAGAGGAACTTTTCAAACTTCACAGTTAATAATCTGTAATTACATTGACCACACCTTTTTTGGAGAAACGTGCGAGGCTGTTGTAGTATACGTTTACTTTACTACAAAGAAAGTCTTCAAATACCTAAATAATCTGCTCAAACTAAATAAATTATCATTTTACTGGTCTTTATAGTTCCGCTTACACTAGAAAGAGTTACGAAAGACATTTTAGTAACAGTGGCAAATCAAAAAAAAAAAAAAAAACAAATCAGTTATATTTGCAAATAGATTTTTTTATTACGAGGAATTGGGCAACTCCAGGGGATTTACTCACACTTTCACTGATTTGAAAATAAGTAACACCCATAACCAAAAAAGTTCAAAACTAATGTTATCCGTATTGACATTTAATAGATGGTATACATTATATCATAATTAAAAATACAAACATTAACTCTTATTAAATGCTAATAGGCAAATTCAAAACGGAAACAAAACTCTGTTATCTATTATTATTTGAATATAGCCGATGATACCCACTGTTGCGTATACGAATACATTGTGCACTCGTCTATGTACATTATGTTATACTGTCTCAGCGTGTGAAAACGTGTGCAAATAATTTACGAGAAATTCGATACCGCTCCGTTAAGAAATGTCAGATTTATTGCCAAGGGTTAGGATTTTCCCCAACTACTGGAACGTCGTCATCCAAAACATTTAACTAAAATATGAACAAAGGCAGTTTAATTATCTGCTTCAAAATGGTGAAATTATTATCAACTTTTTGATCCTGTTTAGACTTTAAAAAACGTCGTATCTGGGTATGATATTAGGAACATCGAAAACTGACGTCGGCGTTTATTAGTAATTATAACAACTTGGCAACGTTGAGTAAGTGAACGTTCGTGTGCAAAATAAACGAGAACGCGTACCGCCGACGTCCTTCAAAATCGATAAACAAAAACAGAGCGTCGAGTGCAACGTCTCTGAGAAATTAAAAAAAAAACTGAAAGAACTTGAAAAAAAAATTACGCAAATGTTGGTTAACAACGATTTGCAGCTTTGCTCTACTGATTTCAATTGTCCAGTACATTTACGTCAATGAAAATACCCACTACACACCACATGTGGAAATAAATAAATGATGATTTTGATTTAAAAAGTAATTGATGGTGATAATGAGAGTTATTTTGTCAAATTATATTCCGGAAACGGCATTTGCGCATTTGTTTATCTGGTTGCCATTCAATTCATTCTATGGAATTCATCGAATTCCTTTTAAGTTAAAAAGTAACCTTGACAAAAAACATGATGTCGTCATTTTATAATGAAAATGATTAAAAATTACAATTAGAGCATTAACACTTATTACACTTGGTACTAGACACCTGATACCCATATTTGTAGTAATATCTTCCCGCGCCTTGCCAATTCGCATAACAAAGCGGACATTTCCAAAATGGTTTCATGAAAAATATTTATTTTTACTATCTCATTAGTGACTGAAATGCTAGTCGAGATAATTTTATGAACGTTAAAAAATTGCGCATGGATTGGAAAAAACCTTTTAACATATTTGTAGGTTCCCTCAGGGTTCCCAGAGTTAAGACTGACTATGAGCATTTCTTCTCAAAACAAAAATTTGGCTTACTTTTTCCAATAAATTCCACATATCCATGAGCAACTGAAATCAATCAAACGTAGTCAACGACATTTTTAATTAAGTCAAAGCCAAAGGTATGCCGAATAAGCGCTGTTTTATGCAATACTTTGGATTTGAATTTCTAGAACAAATCTAAAAGCAAATTTCTCTTATATTACGTTAGTCAGTAGAATTTTACGGTTTACGGTTTCTCGACTAATCTATTTCGACCGTGCACTCCTCGGAAATCGGTCAAATTGTCTACTTAAAAGAATGACATCCAGGGGTTAACCACTAGCGCAAAATTATGAATTACGTCAAACCGTTGATTTTCAAGAAGTTACTACATTTAAACAAATGTTTTGATTTTCAAAAAATAATGGACAAGATTTTGTACAACAAACTTTTAATTACCAAAAAAGCAGAATTTGAATTAAATGTTATAACAAAGTAACGATTTAAATTGTTGATTATTTGGTTACAATTTAAATGACTTTGAAATACTGCAGAATTGCATTTAAGATAACCGACTCTTAACAAAAATCGAATTTTTCCAGACTAGGTTAGAACTACGTCAAATCCGAAAATAAAGTTAAACGTAAAGAGTCGCTAAAGGGCAAGAAAAAACCAGATCGCGGCTTCCTGAAAGAGGCAAGAGATGATATATTGAAGATATATGATTGATGATAAAAATTAGGTAGTGTTAACGTAAAGTGTAGGTTTAGGTGTGTTTGTTAACGTACGGTGTAGATCTAGGTGTGTGTGGACAATGTATCTACAACTGAAAAGGCTGTAACTACTATATATCAAATTTTGACCTCAAATGAAAGTAGATGTAGACATCACGTATCAGATTATGTCGCGATTATATCGCACTTAAAAACAATGGGGCTTACAGCAAAGATAAGATGGTCTGGTATTCATTCATATAATCAGATTTACCGTTATTTGGTCATATTAACAAACTGAAACGATCCAAACCAAGTGAACAACAGTGTACTAAATATTGTGCTTAGTTATCATAATATCCTTGATAATTAATTAATTAAATACAAAATTAAATACATACCTAGATACTTATAAAGCTAGAATCAAATTCAAATAATGCAAATTAAAAATGTTAAATTGCTAAAATTTGCAGCAAGCTGGTACAAATAGTAACTGCAACTGCAAAAAAAAGTGAAATAATCTCAAAATTTATTATCGGCTACGGCAAGCTAAAATCATATCAACAAAACGTAGGTTCTAACCTATCTTTACAATACAAATTAATTACGCGTTTTCATAATAATGCTTTCAAATATAATAACCAAATAGGGAAGAGAGTAGAAAACACTTTTAACGCAATGCAACATTGAATGCCCTACAAAGAAATTAATTAAGAACAAAATCGCAAACTAACCTCCTTCTTTCAGATCGTCCGTCTGATCGATAGGTATGACAAGGAGAGGCAACACGCCACTGAGTCCGACAAGGATGGAACCAAACATGGCCCACAACCATGGCATGTACTGTATATGTTGGAATAATATCCATCCCGAGAGCAAAATATCCATGGAATCACCGTAGGAACTTTCAAAGTACGTATGGTTTATATGGTTGTCGCATAAAATCGCATTTGGTAGTGTTGCCATCACAGAATAATTCAAAACTTCCGTTTCGAATATCAAGTCCGAAGTTAGGTTACACGCCGTCATTTATGCGATTAAGCTGTCTCTAAAAAACGATTCACCGACTAACCTACGCTGAAGTTGAGCCGGACAAATACTAAACCAAATTGATATAAAACACTTATCAATAAGCACTCATTGTTCACTGCTTTTGTTACGTTCCGTTTTGTTCAAACTCGGCATTACTTTTCATTCGACTGCGGGAATTCAAGTTACCCCCACTGTTCGGAACCACAATGTGCACGATAAGTGGAAGAAGAACGATCAAATGCTTGTTCCGCCAAAGGTTATATTCCACTTAATACTATTTTGACATTAATTTGTTGGGCAGCATCAATATCACTAAATAGAGTTTTATTTTACATTAGTGTTATTTATCTGAATAATTTTGCTTAGATAGTAAAACAAACAAAAACAAACCACTAAAAAACGACCCAATTTCAAGTTGCTTTCAGAATTTGATTTGAATCTATTCAGAATGCAATAAGACGACTATTTTGACAAATTTTGTTACACATAGTGAGGGATAGCTATAGCAAGTCTTCTGAACTAGATTTACACTGTAGCTTCCACTCGTAAATGTTTTACACCGATATATTGTTTTAAAACGAACACGCCACACGCAGGTGGCGACGAAAACAAAAAGGCGTCTGTACATAAACTTAATCTGAGAACAAAGAGAAATATTACCACTCGACAAAGGAACTAACAAAATTGACAGCAGTTTGATCTTTTCGCTACAAAATGGTTAGCTTAGTCGATATGGCACGGAATCAAAAAGGAATGTGCAAATTTTTTTTCACTATTTTTAATGTATTTTACATCAGATGGTAGTGAGATCGGAAAAGTTAATAAATGTATGGTTTAGTTTTTCATCGTGTCAAGCGATCACCTCAACAGAATATGAATGAAGTAATGATTTATATCTATTCCTGAGTATTTTATGGGATAGTCCAAAATTTGTTATAATGACTGGCTCTTATTATTTGTATCTTCAAATTGACTGTTATTAAAATGGTCAAAAACTGAAGTAGATTTGGAGCACAGCCTGTTCGAGTAAGGTTGGAGAATTTTTACATGTTGCATACTACTCCTTTGTATGATCGAAAAACAAACTCACCATTACTGTTAACCACTGTTGGCGCAAATAACATACGCCTGCCAGAGTCAGCTGTCTGCGGGGAATCTGGTATCTGATGTGTTGTTCCTACGCATGAGTCAAAACTGCCAAGAAACCGTGTGTGCTGTTTTGTAAACTACGCAGTATTTAATGTTAATTTAAAATACGCCGCTTTATTTTTTATTTAATGCCGCAAAGAAATATTATAAGTGGTAGGTCCTAAAACAGCCACAAAGCAACGGGAATGATTGAATCATGAATCAACTTATCAAGAGCAAAGGACCAACAAACACAGTGCAGGTGTTAAAAGGACTCAAAATCAAAACACAACACGATGTGTTACCCGATGTGAACAGCTAAATTTTTAGTTAATTTCTTTGTCTTTCGCAAGAGGCACATGTAGAGGAAACTGAAAAAACTGTAAATTTCGATTAGGCCATATTAAAAAAGTGTTTCACATCCAAGGCGAACTTCACTGTTCAGATATCATAGGCAACTCGCCATACAAAATACGCACTGCCTTATAGGGGTTGACACAAAAGTGGGAACAAAGTCTTTGCAATCGCATTTTGTGCTAATATTTTTCGAATGAAATAAATAAAATGTTGCCGTTTTGAACTACCCAACACACAGAATTTTTCTTTATTCAGTGTTTTATAAAATTATTTAGTAAAAATAAGTAGTTATGTGCACTTTAATTACAAGATGTGATTACGAGTTATTATTATTATTGTTATGGCAACAACGTGAGCGTTTTGGTTACTCGTAGGCTCTTCAGAGAAGTGCTTTTGTTATTGCGGTTGAACTTGGATAGGGTAGCTTTTTTATTACCGAAGTTTAGACTGTTACTTTCCAAAATATAGTTTTCCGAAGCCCTAACCTAACTAAGAAAATGTTTTCGAAACAATATTTTGAACAATTTATCACTTATCTTAATTCAAGCCATGCCAAAATATTTAAAACTGAACAATAAAAAATGACCGCTACTGCAATGAAATGGATTCGTATCTTACTGCAGTGATAATGGTTAGTTACCACTATTTCTATTCCTCTTATATATAGACTGATAAATATATGAAACTGAAAATAAGGCTAATTTTCTTGCCCAGATGAGATGGGCTCTTTATTTCACTAATTGAGCACTCAAGTGAAATAATCAATTGAAGCGTGGAAATGTCAAAATTACATTTTTGATATAATCAAGAAAAATTGTTTAAATTTACATAAATGGTTATAATTGCCGGTATTTGCAAAAATATGGCAAATGCAAGTTACTTAGTTATTACGAGAGGCACATATTCCTGTTTTCAACACACGCGACAAGGCACTTACGACAATTCTAACGCAAAATATATCAAAAAATGGCAAATACCCCCGTTGACATTTCCACTATTTAATTTATAATTTTAGTTTAATTGCAGTTACAGCTTCATTACTTCTAACAACTAATATACCTATTCAGTAAGTTAATTTAAATCTATCGAAATATTTAACTATACGTTTTAACCAAAATGTACACAAAAAGAATGCATATTTTCAAAAGTATCAAAAAATTGTGAATTAAAACAACTGTTTTTTCTAGGGTATCCATTTTATAAACAGCGCTGATGTGGACAACTTAAATCCCGTTCTTGCGGCTTTTAACTCTTCCCATTCTATCTGTTATCTAAGAGATAAGAGCCTGTCAGATAAGCACGCTTCTATCAATCTTACATTTCCATCCATTAAGCTACACTGTATGCAATGCATGCTTTGAAAACTTGTAGATATTGTTACTTGCCGACTGTAAAAAGAATCATTTCCGACTTGAATAGCACAAACGCAAATTTTAACACTTTTGTGATGGAAAAATTATTAGTGTATGTAAGTGTAAGATCGTTAACACAAGTGCGTTGCATAGTGCCTTAATCGGTCTATTTCCCGGAATTTATTTATTTTTGTCTTAAGATAATTGACATAAATAAGTGTTATGATTCCATTAGAAATATTTTGAATGTTGCGTGTTCATATAGGACCAACGCTTCAGATGACAATAAAGCTTACATTAAAATGTTCATACAGAATAAGAATTATGACGAGCGATCCTGCACCTCCACCAGCAGTCGCAAACTCGGGAACGAACACCTAACCACAGAGCCGTTCGACAACCAACTCGAACATTCCATATACATCGCGAGAAGGCGCTAGCGACACATAAAAGCGAAATACGGAGACAGAAAAATAAATTAATCAATAGATATTAATAATAGACCTAAATAAATTATTAGTAGTGCGTGAATAGTGAATAGGCAGTGTGCATATAATTTTAACTCTTACTGTCATTTTTGACTGAATAAATTTTTAGTTCAGTTTAAGTTATTCGCTATCTCGTCGACGAATTGTTTTTTTTTTGTTTTAAATCGTTGAACCAACTCAGCTTCCATGTTACTACACCAGTTTCTGACCCAGTGTATCCGAAAAAAAAATTTCTAACTAAAGGTCGCCTTTACCAACTTATGAATCTATTTCAAAACGGTTGTTCAAATTCTTAAAGTAATAATTGTATATATGTTTGCTGTATTCAGATAGAAGACTTCACAGTGTTTTGAGTTTGAGGGCATTGATTTAGTCTGTTACAGTGCGCTTTTTATATCGAAAATTATCTTATAAATGGCTGTTAATCTGCAGAAATAATGAAATAAATATTAGCATAAAAAAGAAGGAAAGACGTTATTGCGGCTTAATTATTTTTGTAGAAAACAAAATTACTCTCAAATTACTCCTGAACCGAATAGAAGCAATGAACAAGCTGATATTATTTCATTGCTCTTTTTTTGTTAGTTTTGTTGTGTGTAATTCAAAGAATTAGAAACAGACTTTGATATCCTATGCAGCGGGATAGTGATTAAATCATTCCGAAAATTATAAGAGCGATTTTTACTTGTAGATAGTAAATTTATCTTTTTATGATGCTTCTCAATTAAGGCAAAATAAACGAAGATGCAAGGTAAAGGCATAATCCTGTGCCTCAAAAAAAGGGGTCTACAATTTGCACGAAAATGCGCACCACACATAAACCTCATCGCTCTCTTTTGTTATTTAAAAATGGTCTGTGCTGCAGTTCTGTTCCCCCACAATGGAACGGCATAAGACATTTTTCTTTTTAAAAATATCAGACTTCGATAAAGCTTTAGAGAGTTCAACTGTATGGTGTGAAAACGACAATTTGTCATCAATAATGAGACCGAACAGCTTAACACTGTTACCTAGCGCTAAGGCAATATAAGGGATTATTATATTATTTGTACAAAACTATAGTTTCACCGTAACAGTTTTATGCACCTTTAACGTTTAATGTATTCTTTAAAACAATAAATAGTTTTTCTGACCGCGTTACTATTTTAAAAATGGATCTAGCAGAAACACATTTTTTATTGTGTTAAACAGGCAACGAACGGTTATCCCCGAGATAAATCATCAATGTGTACTTGCAATTTCGACCAGCTAAGCTTGGTGTCTTAATTATTCATTTTTAGAAGGCAGAATCGCCTTGCCAACAATGCCAATAAATGCCTTAGGCAATATTCATTGGTGTCGTCCGTGTTCGGTCGCTCTATTTTAATTCACTAATCAGGCACGCTTTAGGTTTTTCCGAATGTCTACCTTCACCAGAACGCGTAGATGTGATTAGTGACACATTAGTGTTTGCAGCATTTTTTAAATGGATTCGTGGGGGCAGCTGGACATTGCCACTGCCATCGTAAGGGATGATTTGAGCAGTAGCTTTCGGAGATCCAGAAAAATCGTAAGTGCGAAAAAACAAACTAATAAACCCAAGACAAAATAACTAAGTCTGGTTTGCAATAACAACTAAAGTTTATTTACCTGATTGTGAATGAAAATAACTGTATTATAGAGTATTTCCAGCATCTCACTCGAAATGGAAGTTTCCCCTCTTTGCTTGTTATTTTTAAATTTTATCTGCGAAAAATGTGTATTAGCGACAATGGCACTTTTCCATTACCGAAACCGCTAGTTCAAAGAGCTCGAAATCAAAAAGCTTTACATTTTTGACATTTGGAATTAGCAGACGGTTTAAGTCGCTAATCCGACTAGCTAGAAATAGTTAAAATGCTTTGAAACCGAAGATCTTCTTTTGCAACTACGGCTTAAATTTAACGCCAAACCACAAATGAGAGAGTATTTTTCATTTCATCATACGATCAATTAGTTATTATTCTACTATTATATATTATATTATTATACCTCCTATTCAGGGTAAAGTAGGAATATTTAATTTATGAATTAGGTAATAAACATAAATCCCAACTAGTAATTATTATGCAACAAGCATTTTATGGGAATGGTACGGCCGGTACTAGGAAAACAAATTATATACACAGCGTGTCGCATAACATATCCGGCAAGGAGTAGCATTTGATACTATAAATAAAAATAATATTTAAAAAATACACAGGTTACTTTTTATATTTATATTTTATAACAAGGGCACTACAGAGACTGATGGCAAACGTTGTGAAATTCATTTGTTCGAGATGGATGCAATATATTTAGAGTTAATATATATTTTAAAAAATTCACAATAATTTACCATCACATTTATTCAACATCAACATCTTTGTTATTTATAGCATCCCTCGTTGCTCTATAGCGAATTAGTTATGGGAAATCTTGTATTGAACGTTAAGGTTGAAAAGTTTTACTCTTATTATCTACGTTTTTGAAAATTAACAGCTTTACACCAAAATGGAAACAAGAACTCTTTTTAATCATTCGTATATTTTTGCAATTATGTGTTATTTGTTAATTTCTGTGTGATTTCTTTTGTTTAACATCTAAGTTAACATATTCTTCTTAAAGTTTTCAATTTGCTCCTCCTACGATTCCTAAACATATTAAGTCTCCGTATATTGCTTAAGATCTTATTTCAAGCGTTTAATAACTTCGTTTTAGTTTTTATAGAAATAACGAAGCCTAACTTAAATTGCTACGAAAAAGCTAAATAAGAGGTTTAGTCTTAGACTTAGCAAAAATTGCGTCGAATTTCTAGATTGGAAAAAATCAATGCTAAAATCTAAGAAATCTAACGCCAAATTGTCAAGACTATTACCTTTCATCCCAGTTTTTTAAATGACCCAGTGCGCTCCCGATCTGAATCCGCGCGACTTGGCGTATTTTTAGAATTCGTGAAATGTTATTTCGCATACGCCAGATTCATAGACGATATGGTATGTTACGTAAAGTTATGCGGTGAAGGTAAAGTTTGAGTCGATTTTGTGAAATATTGCGGGAATTTAATAATTAAGCGTGAAAATGGATGTGTGTCCCGACGTCTGGGGTCAGTTGGCCTTGGAGGCATCACAAGTATATTTGACAGAAGGGACCGGGGCCAGGAGTCCATTTGCAGGAACGGTATGTTTATTATTAAAATCGAACGGCTGACAAAAAGTAGGAAGCTGATTAAAAATAATTTAAAAGGTTTTTTTCGTGCGATCTAAACGCACACGTCGGGCTTTTGAAGTTTTTGGCTAATTAAAAATTTTTGAAGTTTTTCATTTTGTTGACTAGTTTCCGTCGGTAAGCAAACAGATATAAATAGGAGATTTTTGGCTTTTTTTAGATGTTCTCGTATATAGGAATATTGATTTAGAATTTTATGTACCTACTACCTAACTTACCAGTTGTTAATATTTACTCTTGAATTCCCGAGTGCATCAGAATAATATTTTGCTCTTAATTTTGCTTAAGTTTTGAAACGAACTGAAACTATAGAAGGTTATTTACACAAAAAAAAAGTTGGAAATATAAATTACAAAATTAAAAACCTGGAGAACCTTTATAGAATTATTTTTTTAATTTTATACAATTATAAAGCAGTGTACATAATACTTTAAATACTGGTAAAAGATAGTTTTGCGTCTTTGCCAGAGGCGCACGGTAATGGGATAGATACTATTTACCTTGTTGTACTGTCTTATGTCAATAATAAATAGTTTTGAAGTTATTTGTATTTAAAGAAGTCTCTTTAATAATGGAGTAGTTCAGAGAAAAACTCCTAAGCTAATACTTGCTTTTTATATCGTTTATTTACGAACTTATTTCGTAATCGAAACTCAACCCAGAAATCTATCTAACTACAGGGTGGTAAAGTTTTTAAAAATATATTTTTTAAATATCTGTAATACCACTTTAGATATTTTAATGAAATTTGGCTCACATGTACTATGTACTAGAGACATTATTTAGTGTACCCCCATTTTTACTTGTCTATTTTGGCAGACAATAGCTTTGGATAATATTAATTTAATTTATAACGAAATAGTTAAGCAATAAGTTTTGCTATTATAATACCATAACAATATGTAAGTATAACTGGGATAAATATCTGGTTTGCGTATACTATCTTTCTTCATTGCTTAAACAGTATAGTAGTAGTATAGTAAAGATGAATTGTAACGATAGTTTCCGATAAATTCCATATTTCAGTTTTAAGACCTAAACACCCCAAATCGGTCTTAAATTAGGGTCACACTAATTTTCATACAAAAGAAAGGCGAGTTTGGTGGAAGAAAGTAATGTGACAGTGGTGTTACTTCTGTTAGTTTATTAGAATAATAATTATGCACGATTATAATTATAAAAATGGGCAGATAATTGAGATATTAATTATCCTAAGACCAAGTTAATAATAAATTATATAGAAGTTAGAAAAATACCGAAAGATATTCATTGCAATAAATATAATTATTTAAAAAATATCTACTATTTATAATACAACTCCTTTTGCAAATAGGGGAATCTGCAGCTTCCCACTTTCTGTCTTCTATTTTAATCATTCTATTGGGGAGTGGTAGCATTTCATTTTGATTGAAATACTAGTAAGCCACCACCGAGAAATCCATTTTTGTTGCCAAGGGTGCTTTTATTTATTTATTGAAGCTTGCTTCCCGCTTTTTAAATTTTGGTCATATTTTACCAAAAGCATATATTTTTTCATTTACTCAAGTTTCGTTATTCCCGTTTTTTCGGCGCAAATGTCTAACTGCGCCGCCAGCAGATAATTTCGTCCGCCTCTATTAAAAGTGATTTTCTACTTTAAGATTTTTCGTAACGAAATTTTCTTCATTCTTTTTTATTTAAGACATTATTTTGTCCAAGATATTTCTTTTTTATTTTTCTGATGGCACTTTGTTCATCCCCATTTATTATAGTTTCTTTTCTTCCGGTACTTCTCCTTAGTCACGGGGCCGCGTTTATCCTGGTGCACAAGTTATTGTGATTCCAGTGATATTCGAATGTTGTTAGTCAAAATTATTAAAAACATTGAGAATAATAGTTTTCTCGCTTTCAGAAAGCACAGTTCCGTTTGTGTTTTACTAAGTTTTATAATTCAGTAATGGTTTATAATCCTCTCAATATAAAAAATAGTTTGTTAATTTCACAGACCATAGAAAAGCTTCCTGACAAAGTGCTTCTACATATATTCAGTTATCTCAGCCATAAGGAAATATGCCGTATGGCAAGAATTTGTAAAAGATGGAGAATGATAGCCTACGACACAAGACTATGGAAGAACGTATCACTCCGTCCGGAAATATCTGGACTTCACGTGGGCTCGTTGGAATCACTTTTGGCGTTGATTAGCGTTAGATTCGGGCCATCTTTAAGGTAGACTATATTAGACCATTTCGAATTAATTTTGGTAATCATTTTGGTATTCGTTTTAGGTACATAGAACTTCCTATAGAACTTATAACTCATACCGTGCTTCACGAATTAGCCAACAAGTGTCCAAACTTAACGCATATGCTTTTGGACTTCTCAACTGCTATGCAACTTCATGATTTTAGTGAGCTTCAAGCGTTTCCCACAAAACTTAAATACCTTTGCATATGTTTATCGGAAGTAATATTTATGGAAGGTTTGTATCACGTTGAATGTTGCAAAACATCTGTTAAATAACCTTACCACATGCATAAAACGTCCTGGAACGTCAATTTTAATTAATAGTATGAACGAACCAAGTATTTGGGCCGTAAATTGATAAAAACTGTTAACAATTATCTATTAATGCAAATAAATGCAATAGCGAACTTTGAATACAAATGTTACTTAACACCATCCTCAAATTATACTGCTAATTTGTTTCAAAATTTAACGCGTTCGTGCATTACGCGGTTCAAGGATCATAGCAATCAATTCAAATATACCTCAGTCTTTTCCCATTTCGGTAGATTAACGCGGAAAGTATAAATTGGTGATATATTCTGAAATGATTAGAAATTTATCTGCAAACAATGTCTTTCATCAATAAAGACGATATTTTTCATTACAACAAGATATTGAAAGGATTAGAATATCCGTTTCAATTATTCTGCTTCCCAAAAGATATGCCAAATAAAAATACATATCTAAAGGAACGTAGAAATAAAATAGAAAAAAAAAAGTCAGAAAACAGAAAATGATTTATTCAAAACTTGCATATAGTCCGCTAAGATAAATACTTTAGATACTCAAATTGAAACTCAAATAGTCTAAAAATTTAAATAAGAACCATAATGGTGTCATCATTGTATGTAAGTTGAAAAATAAAAGAAAGGGCCAATACAATAATGATATAAACTTTTTCTACGCCTGCGTCCGACTCCTCTGAAGCAAAAACCTTTTAATGATTTTGTATGTGTATATACATTATTCTATATTTATTTGATTCTTATAACTTAAACAAAATGAATTCAGGTTTTATGAGGAAGATCTACAATTTCATCAACGGTCTGGAAATTTTACATCTAATCGGTACGTATGAGAAAGTCGAAGAGGAAGAAGAAGAAATTTACGAAGTAATCAATGTGCACAAATTGAAATCGGCTACTCCAAACTTAAGAGTAATTAATTTGTATGGCATAAATTTCGTCGATGACAGTCATATTGATGCGTTTAGTTCGAACTGTATTCAGGTGCAGCTTGGGATCATTGGGCATAACTTTGATTAATTTAACACATAATCATTTTCAGTTGGAGTGTTTAGCTGTCAACTTTTGCAACAAGGTAACCGGTAGTACTCTGAAAACGCTGTTTCAAAGAAGTAGACGATTAAAATGCCTATTGATGAACGGAACAAGTACGTGAGTGTTATTATTTTTTCGTTAATTACGTTCGTTTATTTACATCAACTTTATTTTCTTTAAATGAAACACTTAATTTCACAATTAAACCCACTTGGACTGTCTTCAATAGTATAAGAATGTTCAAATGGCTGTCAGTAACTATGTTTTTATTTGCGATTCAGTAAAGTTGTGGTTCAGCATTATTCTTTGCCTATTTAAAACAAACATTCCGCAACAGTTTATTTGATTCATTTGAACTCGTGCGTTCCAGGGCTCAGTCCCATCAATAGAATTGATAGACGATTTGGTTGGTGTCACTGTAACCTAGTCAAAATTTGAATTTCTATCGCTAACAGTGAAGTGATAATTCTGTTATGTGATCCATGCTATCTACCTAGTAATTTTAAATTTTCTGGTACTATTTGCAAATCTTCTGGACTCTTCCTAGGTCGGTTGTTTATAAATAAAACTTGCTGACGTTTCGCGAATTATATTGTTGGCTTCTCTAGAACTTAACTGGAACTGAAAACAGCCTGTTGAAGTTTCTTTGAAAAATTAAAATGATTTTCTAGGTCGTTCATTTTCGGATATTTGAAGAGTAGGGATTAATCGGATTTGTTTTTTGTGTTTCATTAATTAAAATATTGGCAGAAAAAGCTAACACACGCACATATAAATTGACAAAACGAGCGGCAGCTTTTTATTTTTATATCAATAAGCTGTGGTCATTGAAATTATCAGTATCTATGTACTCAAACAAGGAAAGTAAATATATTTCTTGAATGTTCTGGGTTAAGATTGGAAGCAGTCGTTGAATGGATTAGCTAAGAAAAACATTTATTATCATTTGAGGTTCCAGCACTTAAAAAAGCTAGTATTTTCTTCGAAATGTTTATTTCCAATATGATCAATTTATTTAAAGGATTCAAAATTTTAAGTTATATTTAATATGGGAATAATATTTACTATGAATTTTGTAACACACATACTAAAACACACACCGAGTAAAGATACATTTCTTATCGTAGACCTCCAAAGTAACCATCTATTGCAAGTCGAATGGGAGAAATGTTCACTACAGGAACTGGATATCACCGCAACTGATTTATCGACAGAGTGCCTGCAGGACATGCTCACAAGACTACCAGGCTTGAGATTCCTAAGCGCTGGGCAGATCAATGGCTTTAATGATTCTGTATTGAAGTCATGGATGGAAGTCGGAAATCCACGAAATCTGGCAAGTGTCGCTAGATAATAGACTATGCATGCTTTTCATTTACTAAAGTCCTCTTTCATCCAGTTGGCACTGGATTTGGACAGTTCCGACAATTTATCTGAAGATGCCATTTACAAGTTCCTTTGCAAACATGGACACCAATTAATGGGTCTTGGATTGTCGGGAATGACTCATATCACCGATTCTTTATGGCAATCGATATTGCCAATTTTGACAAACTCAAGGTAACAATTTTTCGAATTTGTTTCAAGTTTTGTTTACCTTAATTATTTGTTGCAAGAATTCTAGTAATGGGAACTCAAGAAAGGTTGGGCGTGAACATACTGGCGGACCAACTAATGGACAGTATCGCAAAAAACTGTATCCATCTGGAAAGGATCGAGTTAAGATGGGATCCGGATAACTTGCGTTTTTCGGATAAAAGTCAAAAGGCAATCGATACTTTGAGGGTGAAGTGTCTCAAATTGAAATGTTTGAGTCTGAGGTAGTACAGAGTGACTCACCGAAAACATAGCGATAAGTATAACAGCCACGAAGATATGTTGTCGAGTCTATTCATTTAATTTGTTCTAAAATAAAATTCAAATTATAAAATTTATCGAAAATACTATTATAAATTATTATTTATTTTTGGTAAACAAAATGCCGTTTTAAAATTTAAGACTCCCAGAAGCACTTGAAGTATGATCAATTTTGGGGTTCCTGTTGCAATCGATTTGCCAAACTTGAATATTTGCGTAAAAAACATGAAATTGAAGCTTCAAAGAAAAACAAATTTTTTATAACTGAATAGACTCAAATTTATTTGGAATAAACAGAACAAATGAAATAAAAAAGATTTTTCTGTAATGTGTTGGAAATTTATGACACGTGTATAATGAAAGCATTTTTCAAATGTAGCATATAGCTGCTATTACTATCCCTCCTTTGGGCAGTTCGTGAACGTTCATAATTTTGATTAGTTTAATTAATAAAACATTTTATGCGCTTTCAGCGACGGAAGATATTATGAAATAGTAAAAGCAAACTTCGAGAGAGCTGACAGAATGACCGTAGTCAGAACTTTGACAAATTGCCGGGTATCAAACTACTATCTGTTGTCCAACTACAAAGATCTCGTCTTCAACTGAACAAAAACTATGGTGTTATATAATATTGTAGACATTTATTGACTTAATATATTATAATCACCACAATTTAATTTTCAAAGGAGTGCGATCAAGTATTTGTTATCTTATTAGTAAAAATTGTATTTTTAACAAAAAATATACATATAGTAAAGGGAAAAATGTTTGTACAGATTAAGTCATACGCTTTTATATACAAAAAGAAAAATAAAAAGTATTAACTATCAGAATGAGCCTTAATAAATCCATTGCTGTCATAGTATATATTATGTAAAAATATCGGGTACAACAAAGTTATTTGCGAATCGAATTTCGGTATAACTTTGATCCTGTTTCAGTGTAGATCATATTTCGGATTCGTTGGTGATTTGTTCTTTTTTCAATAAAATATATACATCATCACAATAATTTAAATTCTTATAAAATAGTGAGCAAGAATAATAAAGTTATTAATTAAATAAATCATTATGAGCTGCACAATGCATAGGATTAATTTTATTATTTAATCCAAAAATGATTTTTATTTATTATTTTATTAACCTTACATAATAGTGAAACTTTTAAAAAGGGCTTGCACTACTTCCAGAATTAATCAACGACCCAAAAAAATGTGTGCATCATCAAATAAAATAATAAAAATTGCAAGGAAACGATGAAAAATATATAAGTAAAAAATAATGTTAAAAAGAAATATCTTAAAAATAGAAAACAAGAGGTTATTAGCGGAATAAGGAACATAGTGGTGGTTAAAATATTTTTGAAAGTTTATCGTTTATGAATGACTTTTTGGGCCCAATTTCAGTTTTTATTTTTTTGGCTGAATTTATTTTTGCACGTAAACAGTATGATCACAATACTGCAATATGATCTAAAAAATCAACTTTCCCTTGAAATAAATATATAAGTATAATTATATTGAGAACAAGTTCGTCACTTTATGGATATTTGTGTAACTACAGCTACATTAAATTCAAAAATGAAATAGATTCCTACCTATCTGACGCCAAATTGGAAGCTACCAACGCAATGCAAGTAATGTTATGCAAATTTAACATTAACAAGAACATGCCCTATGAAAATCTTGATGGTGTAAACTGCTCAGAATTAAAGATTTATGACAAATGTTAATCGACTGAGCCCCGCCGATTGAATAACATCAGGGGAAAAAAATGTGCTTATTCATTAATCAATTCCAATGAATCCGAAATCCAAACAAATTGAACAAAAATCCAAAACCTATTTACAGTGATAAGAAAAATATATATGCATCTTAAGTTCAAGTGGAAATTATAAAAAGGAAAAAATCTAAAAACGATATAATTCTTACCAAATCACTAGCCATTATTTTCATTCTCTCGCGAATTTCAAAAATAAATTACTTACTTCAAATAGTGATTACATATGCAATAGTAATTACATCCTATTTTGAAATTTTAACGGCGTCACTTAATTTAATATGTACTACATACACATTACCAGACAATATAAAACATTCCCAACAGTGTATTTCCAACAAATTGTAACATAACTTTAAACTTACAAAAATATTTTTATCACCTGTGGTTGAACTCATTTTCTAACCTTATAGGTTCTGCGTCCTTCTTCTCTTCACTGTTCACAAGATGTAGAATCTCATGGCATAGGGGACACCTGTCCTGGACATACAACCATTTTCTGAGACACACGCCATGGAAAAAGTGTTTACATTTTGTTATCTTTGCGCTATGCATCTCTTGGTAGCAAATAGCACAGACATCATCAAGACTTTGCAGTTGCTCCCTATCAGCCTCTGCCAAGCTTTCAATTTTGTTTACGGCAGTCCTACGTTTCATGAATACTGACCAACCGGCTTTAGCATCACACCAAATATTGAAGTAGGCATGGATGCACATCATTACTGCCCTAATTGCGCTACCACTCTCAAATAAGAGAATCCATGCTCCATTAAAGAATAGGAATATGCCAAAACAAAACTCAATTGTGCTTCCAAATGATCTTATATAATAAATGTAGTCATCCAATTTTTCCCAGAATGTCTCACGTTTGGCATCATATAAAAATAAACAGTATATGGAGAGGGAGACAAAAACTTTAACAATAACTTCAATACTAAAAGCAGTTACGGCCAAAAGCCATGTGGAAGTTTCTTGAGTTGTCCACAATAAATACATCAAACTGAAGGAGAGTGTAACAAGTACCGCGCACACTAACAAAGCATGTACATGTCGTTTGATTGAAGGATTGTGTGAGGCACTTAAACTCATTAACAATGGATTAAGAATATTGTGAGTGAAGTGCAAGAGGGCTGTAAATAACAGGCAAAAATTGCGACATAACCTGACAAATCGTACATCTGGCTCCAAACTTGTAAGTCCAGTCTGTAGTGCCAAAATATAAAACACTATTGCTGATACTGTGCCAAAGTTTTTGTCGTTTTCATCTTCAGTCAATAAAATCCATTGAAAGAATTTCCCTATGTAATTGCAGATAAAAGAGACAACACTAGTAAGACCTAAAACGGATGTCAAAGTCTCACACCCGGTAACCAATAAGAACTTAAGCAGTCGGTATTGAGGTGTGTGTTCATCGTCAAGGCTCCAGTACCCAGAAAAGAAGAAAAGTACAGTGTATTCTAGGGTTCTCAGTACCCAAAAATTGCGCAGCACTTGAGGAACATTTAATCGTAACCATTCATTTTCCACTAAAGCGGACACACCAAAATGAGAAACAAAGGTTTTTGCTTGGACATAGCCTGAGTAAATTGATTGAAAAATAGCTATTGTAGAAGACCAAAGCACCACCGTAGTCAATGCTAGAGGTAGAAATGCAGAGATAATAGGCATATGGTACAATAAGGAATTGGAGATTGGTAAAATACATAAAACTGAAGGTATTAAAAAGGATGCTGGCAAAAGTTTCTGTACTGTCGAATATCTTGGTCCTAAATGTATGTTAATAAACAAAAATGCCATTATGGTTTGGGCGATGTAGTTCTCTACAACTTGATACATCCATCCTCTTTCTTCTAATATATGTTGCAGGCTGAAGTTGTGGAAGAACTCTAAAAAATCGAAAGAGCTGTTCTTCTGGTCCGCATTGACTATAACTGTATTGACAGTGTTTACATTTGTCCAGTAGGAAAATATTACTAAGCCTACGGATATAAGGTAGAGGTATACTATGGTCAGATGCTTGGTGTTCAGTACGAAGACGCATAATGCTGATAGACACACTAAAAAAAAAAAATTACGTTTAAGAATTTTGGTTTAGCTATAATTAGCAGTTTGAGATAAATGAATTAGTTTTCCACCCCAAAAAAGTAACAGAATTTCTTAATTAAAAACTAAGAAAGGAACATCTGCCAATCTTCTGGTGGTTATGTATTAAGTCAATGTTAAACATGAATATTTAATGTCATCTATGCTGCATTGAATCTATAATTTAATTATAGTGAGATACATCAATTTTACATGGAAATATAACACACGCTCCAAAATCCAAAACTGAACCAATCTTAAATTAGTGAAATATCTGCGACATTGGGTGGAAAAAATCCCATTTTACAGTTCTCTAATAAATGATGACTAACCTAAAATGCTCAGTACAAATCGTGCTACTAATATTATAACAATTTTGTAAGTCCTCGCATCCAAAGAAACGCTCGCTGTGGAATTGGTGACTGTACTTTCAACATTTTCCAGTTTATCAACAAAATATGTTAAATCATCCTGATTGAATTCCTGATATACATTTATTCCTAATCCAAGTTTCAAAATCTCATCGATGACAAATAGGGGTGGCACCCTTAGCAACACCTCGGCTATGCCCAAAACTCTACCCCGAAACGACATTTCATGGCAATAACGATTTGCTAAGGGAAATATTTCTATTTCATTACTACCTTGATAGAAAACTTTGAAATGTCAAATTTGACGTAGGAATTGACAGTGGGACATTCGAAGAAAAAGTGGGCAACTCACCCAAATCATCGGGCCAGAAATAGAAAAGATCAGAACATTTTTGACGACGAGATATTCAACAGCATTTTATTAAATTGTTGATTGCTCAGAAAAAAAAAAGACACACAAAAGTAATACTTTGATCATCCACTTAATTTCCGATGGCGAAAATGATCTTCTCTTCTTGCACTAACTGATGTAAAGGTCCAGGTCATAAATAGGCCTAACATTGTAAACTACTTAAAATTAAACAGATAGGACTAGTGAAAATTCAATAGGGTAAACAAATGATTCAAATATTTTTTGATTTGTATTTTTAATAAATAGCATTTGATTACAGCTACCATCTCTTATACAAAAGTCACTCGCAAGTAGGACGTCTAATGATTCCTTTTATTTATGAAAATACAAACCGGTTCTTCCTCTGAAACAGAGAGGGCGACACATGTTACTATTCCATAGAGATTCTTAGGCCTATACGTATCTGTTGGTGGTTTCTTTGTTTGCATAATTTTGTGTCCTAGGACAAAATATAATGTCATAGATTCGTACTTTAAAGAAATGAAAATTTCAGACCTATTATTAATAAACATTTTTACGTTATATTAGTATCGTAAATAGGCACAATATTTATTCACTAGGTTGTTAACTTAATGTACATAATAACACAATTGTAAAAAAAATATTAGAAACTGTATAAGAGAACACAAACGCATCTACAAAATTAAAAGTTTTATTTAAATATTATCGGCAACATTTTATTATTATTTTTGAATGCACTATAAAGTTAAGTTTATACATATCTTATAGTAAATCATTCAAAATTTCCACTATGACCACTATATATAACCTAAATTTACCTTCCCGTGGGGAAAGCGGGGTCTTGCTAGTCCTATAAAAAAATGTACATAGTTTGCATTTAAAAAAATAACAATAACGCCAATTCTCTTTTCAACATATATTTATAATAAATAAACATACATAATACTTCACACTAACGTAAAAAAAAACTTAAATCTGAAAAAACTGATTAATCGACACGTCCCAGTCGAACCCTTTATATAATTCCTCTTCCATTGCCTACCCTGTCCTGTTGTTGAAGATAATGATGCTCAAAGTTTCTTTCACCACGAAATTCTTCTTCTGTCAGTAATTAATTATTTCCATTTCTGTTTGCAACTTGGTTTGTAATATGGTTTACCCAAAATATTCGCAGTAATTTCGAATGCGTTTAATCTTTTGGTGCCATAGCTAAGCTGTATTCGATGCTGACTTCTATTATGTTATGCATAATTTGCTGTAGTTCTGCCAAGCTGCTGGGAAATATATTACGACAATAAAATTAACTTTCGTATTAATCGGATACCTGGATAACTGGGAAAAATTTTTTAATTATCAATATTCAAAAATTTGTAATTATCAGTATTCAAATAATTTTCAATTTCAACTAAATTGCTCTGCCTTCTTCCTATAAGAAAAAAGCTTTGTATTTATTTTATTATTCCAGATTTCAGGGTTTGACTAATTTTTCCGTTTCTTTCGTTTAACTAGATACTCATTTGAAATTATATTTGTAATATTTTCATGTTTTTTAAATTTTTCTTATGTAGGGGTGGGCCAAACACGAGATAACATCAAAAACTAGTTTGGCAGGGCTTAAAAATTCGACTTTTGCCACGAAAAACTGTGGCTCAAGGGATTCGCCACAGTGCAGTGCATAAGTGAGTATTTTAAAATAAAAGAAGAATCAATAGCAATTGAAAATTTTGGAATTCCGTTTGATAAAAAAATTCACTATTGAGCCCAAAGAAAATATTTTCCATATAATCGTCTTGATTAGTATTATTAAGTTGCAACAAGTAGAATTTTATTTCGTTTTAACGCAAGTAAAATATAATTTTAGGTAAAATATAATATTCTTGTGGCAAAAAAGCATACTGTTTTGAATACATTGAATACTTCCATATTAACATTTACTTCCCTTGTTAAATCGACTTACCAATTATTACACAACAATAATTAAAATAATTAACGAATCATTTTTTATCACGTGATAACCTCAGTTGTGGTAAATATTAATTTGAACTAATTAAATTTTCCAAAGACGAAGTAAAGGAATGCAGTCATCGGTAAATGTTAAAGTTTGGAAAACGAATTACAATTGCTAGGTAGTGAAACAATGCAAGGACACCTCTCGTCACGGTAAAAATAACCATTCGAACCACATGTTCGGGAGTACACTAATATGCCAACACTTCCCAACATTAGTGGGTCTTTAGCTAATAGTTCTACACCGAGCGTACGTCAAAATAACTTATCAATCAGGTCGGAGAAACTTCAAGCCTCAGACTACGTTAAGTATTTTTACCGTTTTTTTTTTGCTCCAGCGGTTGCGGGTTTTTCATTAATAATTCTTGCTTGATGCACTCAAATAGTCGCCGCAGATGTTCCATTAATATACTAAAATGAATTAAATGAGTGTCAAGAGCTGTAAGAGGCGGTATTTCGGATACTTTCTTAAACGTGTTTAGCTTTTCTGCATCCCTTTTTGAAATTACTCGATTAATATTCAGCTTTCACAACGTGTTCTACAGGGAAGTACATTCATCCATTATGAAAAAACTATTCTTAGAAAAATTTGAAAATTATAGGGCTAAAATATTTCTAAAGATTCCTAACATGTCGGAAGCATGTGTCAACTTACTATAACATAATTTCGTGTTTTAGAGATATTTCAAAATTTTTGCAAGTCTGTTTAACAGATCATGCCATTTTGATAAAAAAATATTTGGAAAATTGGAATAAAATTCAAATAAAAAAAAATGTTTTTTAAAAAAGAAACTTTGTATGCAGTTGTTGAGATATGTGCGGTAAACGGTATTTGACTCATGAGTTTATTTGACATGAGCTGAGCGCAGCGGAGCGAGTTTTTAATAAACGAGTGAGTTAAAAAGTTTACCGAATGTGTTGCATACTAGACTTTTTCTACTACCGTTAGTTTTTGGGTACATTTTCGCAAAACAACACAAATTCATTCACTGACATGACCATCAGAATTGACAAACGTCAAAATTCAAAGCGTGGGAAATATCTCCGAAACCATCCGATCGCTCGCAAATCCGTGCGATAAAATCCCGGAAATGTGCGAAGTGGCTCGGATTTGTGGGAAACGAAACCGACGTGGTAAAGTGACGCTTCCCGCACGCTAGATCGGTGTGTAATTACGTATTTTATAGACGGGAGTAGAAAAAATATTTTTCCATTAAAATAAAGCTCATATTATCCCTTACGATAAATTAATCTAGTGTAACAATGACGTTGTCAAAAATCAAATACTTGTTAAGGAATTTTTCCAGTTCATATTAAGAGGCAGGCATACTTATTTGACATATCTATGTGGTGGTAGAGCGTCTGCGCTTGCTAAATGTCATTGCGTACTGGTAACTTAACCACTTCCATTGCCTTGCGCTAGGAATAAGGTTGTAGAATTGACCGGCCAATTTTTTTTGTGTCAATTGACCAGTCCATTGTCTGGTCTAATAAGCAATGTCTAATAACCAATATGCAACCTGCGGCTTTCGACTTCTGTGGTAAGATTGGTCTGTGGTCCGTCAAAGTTTTCTAAATTTTAAATGTCCCCAAATGTCCCGAATATTATAGAATAATTTTTAAAATCGTACTGCTGGCCTCAAATTATTTAATTTTTTTATAAAAATTGTATGACGAAGATTAAAATATTTATATTAGATTTCCGTGTAGCAAATATTCAGCAGATTTTGTCGTAAAATTGGTTGGAAAAAAGAAATTTTGAAAAATGATTGAATTTCCGTGTAGCGGAAATTGGAGGTTGATTGAATAGTATCGCTAAGCTGGTTATCGTAATGATATCGTTATTTCGTCCGAAAGACATGTGCATCTAACGGCAGTAATGAAAAGTTATAAATGAACACTCTAGGGGAGAAATCCTACCGCTCGGGAATCGTAATGATATAATGATCTTAATGAACCAAGTAACTAAAACCCCATGTCGTCAACCGATGTACTTTATTTCATTATATTCTTTATGTGAAAAACTATTTTTTTAACACGAAAAAAAAATTTAAAAAAACTTTATCGGAGTAAAATCTACCATTTGATATAAATAAACAAATGAAATCGAATTTGTAATTTTTCCCACTATCTAATGCGAATATTGAAATCTACGAGCAGATTCAACAGCATCATCATCAGCAGATGAAGTTACCACAATTAGGAGCATCCCGAACTACTGTTCAGTTTTTGCCCTCTAATAAATTTAAAAAAAATAGTTATTTGAAATCTTCTAACGCGAAAAATTTTGAACCTTATCGTTCAGAACAAAGGATATCGTTCTATCAGTTTGCAAGGCCAAATATTTTAGACTGAGAATAATAAAAAAAAAAAGATTTTGAAACCAAAATATTTTTTCCTGACCGGTGTGAAGTTAACAGTTAAAAGTTGGTAGCCAAAATTACGCAAAGACCCGAACAACCAGTGGCGGCGGAGATTTCTTAAACAGTTTGGGAAGCAAGGGACTCGACATTTACACACTTTCATTTCTCTAGGTTAGATTTTGTTTTCCGAAAAAATATAGTTACAACGGGAGTGGAGAGATTATTTTTTCTAGAAACGAAAGCCAACCTTTGGGAACAGATTTTCATAAAGAAATGAGAGTGTTTAAATTTCGATGAAAGTAGAAAAAAAATAAAATTTTTTAGTTTCACCTTGAAGGCGAAAGATCTATTTGTTTTGAATCAGTTGCTTCCTAAACTGTTTTAGAAATCTCCTCCGCCACTGGTTGTTCGGGTCTTTCCGTAATTTTGGCTGCTAACTTCACACCGGTTTTTCCTAATGGTCCTGAATATTCTTCTAGCTTTATTGCGATCACATTTTTCACCGTCAACAATAATGGTTTTCAAGGCATTCCTAGTCCTGGTTAACGCAGT